TGAAAGAGTGATTAGATTTAATCTGTTGCTTTAGTGGGGAATGGCCATGCTTTTATGTATATGTTGTGTGTGCATTGGAAGGGGGTATTTGAATAAGTCTTTACAGATACAGTTGTGCTGTCTGTTTTTGCTGGCATTTGTTTATGGTAGTTTGACTTCTTGTGTGCTTTTGATATTTGACTGTGAGCCCCATATTCCATGGAAATTTATCTGTAGTAACTATTTGAGGCCTAGGATTGAAGCTCTGTTCTTTCAGGGAAGATCTGCTTTTGCTTCTGCCAACCACCTGGGGATACGTCAGCCCAAGTCCATTTTATACCTTGTCCTTACTTGTGGGATTTTTGGACCAAAGTATTGTGTGAATTAGGATTACAGAACTGCAGGAGATCTAATGTGTTGTTACAGAATCTCATTGTGGATTTTTTCCCTCTTATAGCTGTATCAAGATTTATGTGGTAAAAAGTTGTTACTGAATTGTAAAAATCAAAGCTTGTGATCATCAGGTTTGGGCACATACCCTTAGGAAAAAAAGCCAACTTATAGTAGGTACACATACATTCCTGGATTCCCACTTTCAGTTACTTTTTGGCCTTCTGAAATTTAACATTCTTGCTAGTTCTTAGATTTAAAAACATTTTAAAATAAATATTTCACATAGTCTGTTTACTTGTCTTTATTTATTTATTTGAGACAGAGTCTCACTTTGCCGCCCTGGCTGGAGTGTAGTGGTGTGACCTCGGCTCACTGCAACCTCCCCTTCCTGGGTTCAAGCAATTCTCATGTCTCAGCCTCCCAAGTAGCTGGGATTACAGGTGCATGCCACTATGCCCAGCTAATTTTTGTATTTTTAGTAGAGATGGGGTTTCCCCATGTTGGCTAGGCTGGTCTTGAACTCCTGACCCAAGTGATCCACTCACCTTGGCCTCCAGAGGTGCTGGGATTACAGGTGTGAGCCATTGCACCCAGCCTACTTGTCTTTAATTGGTCAGTCAGGGTGCCAAAAACTGAATTCCATCTATTTAGTGTAGAGAACTCCTGGTACCTTGTAAGATAGGAATACTTTATTGTTGTCAGCTTAGTGACCATCTTTTGGTGGGGTAGGGAGATGATATAGGAGAGAACCCTGTATTAGAAGGTTGATGTGTAAATAACCTTTTGGATCTCTTTCAATTATGAAAGTATATAGTTTTAGCTAAAGTAATCATTTTTTGCTTCTCTTGGGAATTTACCATTTTGAACTAGACTAATATTATTCAGTGACATTTAAATCTGTTTCCTCTAAAAACAGAAGTTGTGAATATCTGTCAGTTATTAGAAAACACTGAATTTACACTAGAAGTCATCTTAATCCACCATGTGGCTTTGAAAGCACGTTCTTAATCTGAACATGTTGAACAAATTAGATTGGCACTTTAGCCCTCACTGCAATGTAAACACAAATGGAATATTTGTAGATGGTTGATGTTCTTTGACAGATGTTGCATTTTGGAAGCAGAAATCTGTTAAGATGCTCTAGGATTTAAATTTTTTCTGTCAAGGACTTAGTATAAAGCCCGTTTTCCTCTTCTTCTATCTGACTTTGTCTCATCATTCAAAATCCACCTTGGTCATCTAGTTTTCTTCCTCATCGTGTCTCTCAGTGAATGAACCATTAGATGAGACCTGCTGGTTTGTGGACCTTTTCCTGTCTTCATCAGTCTGAGTTCTCTTGGCTTTGAGAAACAAAAAATTTAGATTGCTTGATAAAAAGTGTGTTTGAAAAACAGAGCAGTCAGCTTTCTATTTACTAGGTCAGGAACTCTTATTCCAGCTCAATAATAACTCTTTTATCTGACTAAAAATAACTTCCCATTAAACATTAAGCAGCTTCCCATAGCACTGTCTCTAGACTCAAAGGCAAACACAGGAACTTACAAGTTTATATGTACTGTGCACCAGTAAATGCACATTTACAGGACTCCACACAGCACTAAGAATTATTACCTACCAATAAGGGAGAGCATTTTTGAAAGCCCATGTTTCCTTGGAACATGTACTATTATAACAGATATGATAGAGGTACATGTAGAGACTTCAAGATTTTTTTCTGTGCATTGCCAGCATTTTCTCTCTGTTTGTATGCTTGTCTGAATCACGGGTCTAGTAAAACAGTAGAATCAGAAAGAACTTTTCCCTCTCAGTGTTGTATAAATGATGGCTGGCCACTTGGTGAGCCCACTCCATTGACTGTCCCAGTCCATGGTTGGATTCCAAGTGAACCAGGCTCCTTAGATTAAGGTAGCAGCTCTCAACATTTTATAATACTTTCAGGACCCAGTTAAAGACTCTTAAAAACAACTAAGGACTCAATAGCTTATGTATTTTAATTCATTTACAGTAGCTTATATATTCATTTATAATAATTGATGTATTCATATCCAATAGCTTATGTATTCACTTACAAATAATAATGAGCACATTACATATTAGCATGAGAGCAATGATATCACATGTCATATAACATCTGGAAGATTTCACTGTATAATCGTGAGAATGAGAGTGAAAAGGCAAATAACATCTTAGCATTATTATGAAAAGGTATTTAGCCTCTGAGACCTTCTGACAGGGTTTTGAGAGAGCATATGGCTCAAAATTGAGACTTAGATAGATAGCTATCTTGGAAATAATCTTTCCACATATCAAGATAGCTGCTGGTTTTCCTGCAAGAAGAACTCTTGTGAGTGAAGTTTGAAGGTCATAGTTTTAAAACAAAGCTGTATGTGTGCCCCATACACGAATACGAGAGCATGGAAGCTGGGTGGGGGAATGCAATTTTTATTTTCTTAGGACTTTGGCCATAAAAGCAGTTTATGAGCAAGAAAGCTTGCTAAGAGTCAGGCATTACCCAATCCATGTCAAAGCTGCAGAACAGAATTGAATGAGTTTACTCAGCCCCCTCACACCGGAGGAAGTCTGGAAGGTGAGTGCTACGTGAGTCCACTGGAGCCTGCCTGCCCAAGTCTGTCTCGAAGCCTGACAGGCATCTGGAGGAGGTCAGGATACTCAAGCATAATCCTGACATCACACCTAGAGACATACTGTATGGGAAATTAGTTCTGTTTCCGATATCAGAAAAGCATGAACAGAAGGCTTATGTAATTTGGCTAGTAAAGCACAATGCTCTGAGAATATGCTTATAACACTTTGGAAGTTACAGTCAAGGAATCTAACCTGGATATTAAAACTCAAAGCTAAAATTAGCTATATAAAAAGCTATTAAATACATAACATACAAAAGTGGCCAAATTAATAGCATAGTTCAGGTCATCCAGTCAAAGTAGAGGAGATACAGTTTATTGTAATTCTGTTTCTGGTAAGTGATTTAGAGTAGGGGTGGTCTCTTCTGCCACGCTTTTTTAATACTCTCAAATGATTTTCAGAAATAGTTTGTCCTTGTCTGTACTACAAGTTGTGAATATCTTGTTGTGTCCAAAATTAATTTTAAAAAGTTAATTCCAATTCCCAGAAATCCTGAAAGCTAAAATAATATTGACATTTTACATAGTCCCAGGTTTCAAGGCTAAATGTGTTGTAATACTAAATGCTCAGTTTTTCTGTTTCCTTAATGGCCTACCAGCCCATGAGATAGAAAATGATGTTTCTTACCATTTTATGCAGCTATATCCTGCTGGTTGTTTTGTAACTCCAAAGTTGTTAAGTAGCAGAAGAGCTCATCTTCCATTAATAATACTGCTGAATTATTCAGAGAAATCCTTAACCAGAATAAATGGTTATGGCCATCCAATTTCTCCTCCTTTTCACTTTCCCATTTCTTTTTCCTGTGGGTAAATATCTCAAACTTTCAAGCCTAGAATCACTGTTAAAACATGCAGGGAAAGTTGAATATCCAGATAGTTTTTGTTGCTCCCTCAAAACCCTGTCAGTTGGTCTCAGAGGCCAAATACCTTTTCATAATAATACTAAGATGTTATTTGCCTTTTCACTCTCATTCTCATGATTATACAGTGAAATCTTCCAGATGTTATATGACTTGTGATATCATTGCTCTGATGCTAATATGTAATCAATGATTAGCTTGGAATTGGGGTACTTACTATAAGAAAGGAGATGTTTTATCGTTGGTGCTTGACTGTTTAATAAAACTATCTATAATCACCCAAGAAGTATTATAATTGCACTTTTCGCAAAAAGGTCTACCTTTTAATTTCTTTTTCCTAGGGCTGCTCGCAGGAGTCTTGAGGCAGGTGTTTCTATTCAGTATCTATACTAAGCTGCTTGCTTCTTTGTGTGGTTTTTGAGGAATGGCCATTTGCCCTCCTGGAAAATGTTGTCACATTCACCTCATCATCTTGTTTAGAGATCTCTCTCCACTCACTCCTGGTCCTGAGGATCCTTCTCCACCCGCCTCCTCCCTTATATAGTTGCAGAACTTTTCCTACATGACCTCTGTCAGCACCTTTAATCCCTTTCCAGTCAATCCCCTGTCAACTCCAGAACATCAGAAATAGGAAATGATTAAATTGGGGTGGGCCAACTGATGGAAAATGTGTTGGGAGACTCTTCATTATAAGTGCTGCTGAATGACTAGACTTTTTAACCATATGCTTATAATGCTTCACTCACAGTGAATCAATTCATTATTCTTAATAACTCCAGAATGGTCCTGTGAAGATATTACCTTGGCCGTGTTATTCCCCTATTTAAGACTTTTTGATAATACCTATTGCCTGTATGATATTGATATAACCACAGTTACGTCCCTGTACTTTTTTACACATGCTGTTCCCTAGGCCCAGAATGCAGGTTCTGTTGATAGGGATTTTGGTCATTGTGTCAGAATCTCTTCTCTACGCCAGATTTTGAACAGGCCCCTGTAAATGCCCTGGCTTTGTGTGACTGGCTGCCCAACAGTGCTTTGCCCACATTCAACAGAGCTTGATTACGTGAACCAAGGTGAACTAATTAAATCCTTTGGATTTGCCATCCCTTTTTTTCCACAGCAGTCTGAGCTATCAACTGAAGAAAGTCCAGAAAAATTAGGAGCCTCCCAGCTACATCGTCGGAAAGTCATTTCCTTGAACAAGCAGATTGTACAAAAGACCAAACATCTTGAAGAGGTCAGTGTTTTCTTTTCATAAGTTTATTCAAGATCTTCATAGTAGATTGCTTAAAGGAGATTCCAGAATGGGGGTTGGCATACTGTGGTGCTTGGGCCAATCCAGTTGCCACCTGTTTTTGTAAATAAAGCTTTATTACAACATATGCACATCCATTTGTTTACATATTTTCTGTGGCTGCTTTCAGGCTACGGTGGCAGAGTTGAGTAGTTGCAGAAGACCATAAGACCTACAAAACCTAAAATATTTACTACCAGCCCTTTGCAGAAAAAATTTGCTAACTTCTATCATAGGAAAAGATCACAGGGCAAGAATAAATAGCATTAGTTCACAAATATTTCCCGAGCACTACTATGTGCTAGGCACTGAACTAAGCTATTGGGATGAATGAAGACCAAGTTATGATCCTTGCTGTCAAGGATCTTAAGGTCTAATGAGAAGTCATCACACTCATCGTCATTTAATTACAGGTGTGTTAAGTGCTTGAAGGAGAAATCTAGGAAGCTGGGAGAGTGACTGATAGGGAGACCTGACCTAGCCTCAGGTCACAGAGTTCTGAGACTGGAAAGATGAGTGGGCATTTCCAGGCAGGAAGTCTGTATGGGCTATATCGACGTATAGAACAACATGAACAACGACCAGAGGAGGAAGGGTCTTGGCCAGTCTGTTTTGTGGCCAGAGAGTCATGAATGAGACAGTTGGTTGGCAGTGTCTGATCAAGAGGACCATCCAGGCCATGTTAAGGACAACGGAAGCCATCGAAGGGTTTAAATAGGGGAGTGGCATGATCAGAATTGCATATTGTAAAGACCATTCTGTTTGCTGCAGGAGCATGAATTAACTGGACTTTGTTGAGAAGGAATTCAGGGAGAACAGATAGGAGGCTGATGTAGTAGTCCAGACATGGACTGCTACTATTGATGGCAGGGAAATGGAGGAAACTTGATCATTTTTAAAAGAACTGTAGGAGATGGTGTTCTGTAATACCTGGTGATATGAGACTGTTTTGGAAAGACCTTCATATATTTGCCCTGAAAAGTAGACCTAAGAGGAAGCTGGGAAGTTTGACTCAGGAACAGTCATTGGACAATAAAAAGTTATGTACTTCAGTTGCATTAGCAATAGATTAGATTAGAAGAATATACGTAGTAGAAGATTAAAAGAATGAATATGAGCCGGGCGCGGTGGCTCACACCTGTAATCCCAGCACTTTGGAAGGCTGAGGAAGGGAAGTTCACCTGAGGTCGGGAGTTCAAGACCAGCCTAACCAACATGGAGAATACCTGTCTCTACTAAAAATACAAAATTAGCTCGGAATGGTGGGCCTGCTTATAATCCCAGCTACTCAGAAGGCTGAGGCAGGAGAATCGCTTGAAACCGAGAGGTGAAGGTTGTGGTGAGCTGAGATCATGCCGTTGCACTCCAGCCTGGACAACAAGAGCAAAACTCCATCTCAAAAAAAAAAAAAAACTGGGTACAAGTTGCATTTTGAGCTTGTTTTTATTCTTTCAAGTCCCACATATTTAAAAGGTATGAACTTATCAAATGGTCCTGCCCAATCATTTCTTTGTTTGAATCTGTTCTGTTAGAATTTGTTCTCCCATAGCTGAACAAACAATAGGTTGGTTTTGCTAGATGCTCTGGATCAAAGAAGGATGAAAAGAGAGCCTACGATTTGGTTTCTGTTCAGTTATTTGTTTAGACATCTTAATGAGTTCTCAACTCAGTATCATTTCTACTCCTGACCCCTGCTAGTGATAAGAATAGTTCAAAAAGAACTCATCACAGAATCAGAAGGAGTCAAGGATGAGGCTTCCTTATTATAGTATATCTCTGAGAGAAGATAGTTGTCAGGTTACTGTGAACTCCAGGAGCCAGAGTATCCCAGCAGGAATGAATATTTGCTTCTACCTTCTGTCTAAACCTGGGGAGAAGCAATGCTAAGCCTCAACACAAAGGGCAGTCTTGGCACATTCTTGGTCCAGCTGACAGGGCAATCCTCCCTGACTCTTGAGTCTGTTTTGCAGTTGATTCAAAACACTTTTACCCAGAGCCTGTTACTTTCCATGCATACTGCTTAACATATAGCAGGCTGTCATTAAAAGACAACAATCATTATTGCTACGTTTAATGTAATTAAAGATGATGACCAGCACATGCAATAATCCCTGGCCATGTAGCTATCCCAACTGGATGAGGAAAATGAGGTAGGAAGGGAAGAGACTTGTTCAGTTTGTGTTCCATGTTTTTGTGTGTGTGCAGATATACTAAACACATTTTCCTTTTGTTTCTGTCAGTTTTCAAATGTTTCAAGTGCTTTTTTTAAATTACAGGGATAAGCTCAATATAAATTAAATAGTATAGAAGTATATAAAGATAAGAATAAATACAGCAAACTACTATTTGTGTCTGCTGTGTTGCCTTTGCAAACATGTATGCCCCTTCACCTGGGGAGAGTGAGTTGTATGGTTACAGAATGGGGGATTTTATTTCACTTATTCTATCACAGACATCTCTCTGTCAGTAATAGTAATTGCTAATAAGTGCTTTGTTATTGCTTAGTAATTATTATGTGCTTTACAAAATTAACTCACTCAGTTCTCACAGCATCCTTATGAAGGGGAGGTACTGTTTTTTCCTCACTTTACAAATAAGGATACTGAGACACAGAGAAATTAAGCAGGCTGTCTGTAGTCACATAGCTTGTTAGTGGTAGAACCAAAATGTAAGCATATGAATCTACCTCATTCTTTTTACTGACTGGATAGTGTGACATAGTATATATATAACATTATTTAACTTGTCCCCTAAGTTGTCAAAAAATGCATTTTTTATTTTGCTAGAAACTATCAAGTTATTCATCAATTATTTTATCAATTTATACTTCTACCTGTGGTATGTGAGGGATTCCAAACTCTAAACCCCATAACCTCTTTTACAAAGTCATACAGGCAGAAAGCATCTGAGATGCATCCTTTTTTAGGCTTTTACAAACATGTATGCCCTCACCTTGAGAGTGAGTTGTATGGTTACAAAATTGAGTTTTTATTTCATGTATTCTATCACAGACATCTCTCTGTCAGTAACAGTAATGCCTAATAAGTGCTTTGTTATTGCTTACTAATTACTAAGCGCTTTGCAAAATTAACTCAGTTCACACAACATCCTTATGAAGGGGAGGTACTGTTATTATCCTCACTTTACAAATAAGGAAATATTAGTCTATTCTCACCCTGCTAATAAAGACATACCTGAGACTGGGTAATTTATAAAGGAAAGAGGTTTAATTGACTCACAGTTCTGCATGGGTGGGGAGACCTCAGGAAACTTACGATCATGGCGGAAGGGGAAACAAACATGTCCTTCTTCACATGATGGCTTGAAGGAGAAGTACAAGCAGGGGAAATGCCAGATGCTTACAAAACCATCAGTTCTCATGAGAACTCACTGTCACGAGAACACCATGGGGTAAACCGTCCCCATCATCCAGTTATCTCCACCTTATCCGTCCCGTGACATGTGGGGATTATGGGAACTACAATTCAAGATGAGATTTGGGTGGGGACTCAGCCAAACTGTATCATGGTCCAATAAGGGAATATGCTACAAAGGAATTAAAATGGAGTGAAGCTGGTAGGTAGCTAAGAAGAAACCTGAGAGTGATGAAAGAAAGAGAAATCCAGAGAGGTGGTGGTAACCAGCAGCTGAATTTTTAGGGTAAGTGTAGGGATTAGTGATGAAGAAGAAAATAGAGGTAAGAGAATCCTGGAGGACTTCAGCAAGATAAAAACCAAGCTAAGCTACTGGGACACTTCCTATGTAAGAAAGGATGGTCAGATGAAGAATTAAAGAGAGCTCTTGTTAGTTAAATTAATTAAAGAAAAGAGATGAGCCTTTTCTTCTTAGAAAGCTCTTACTTCCCTGCCATGATCCATCTAAGGTAAGTCTTTGTCAGTGAAGGTTTCCTGAACCCCCTGGTGAGGGAGCTGACTCTTTCCTTGGGCCTATCTCTGCCCCATCTCTTCTCATATTTTGATCTCACAGTTACAATGTCATGTTCTTTTCTTTCTCCCATACACCTCATTTGAGCAGAGCATTGGGTAACTGTCAGATGAGTAGGTGGGTGCAGGGGTGAGAGGCTACACAAGAACGTGGGTGAAGCAGGTGAGAAGATCCCGGGGACCTTTCCTAGAGCCTTGTCTTAGTCCATTTGGGCTGCTCTATCAAAATACCTTAGACATGATAATTTATAAACTACAGAAATTTGTTGCTTATAGTTGTGAAGGTTGGGAAGTCCAAGATCGAGGCACCAACAGATCTGATGTCTGATGTCCATAGATGATGCCTTGTTGCTGCTTCCTCACATGGTGGAAGGAGGCAAGGGAGCCCACTCAAGCCTCTTATATTTTCATTTTTTTGAGACAGGGTCTCACTCCATCATCCAAGCTAGAGTCCAGTGGCATGATCATAACTCACTGCAGCCTCAACCTCCTGGGATGAAGCAATCCTTTTGCCTTAATCTCCCACATAGTTGGGACCACAGGAACACCACCATGCCTGACTAATTTCTTTTATTTTTTTTGTTGAGTCAGCAGAGTCTGACTCTGTTGCCCAGGCTGAGCCTCTTTTGTAAGGGCACTCTTCTCATTCACAAGGCTGGAGCCCTCATGACTTAATCACTTCCCAAAGATCCCACCTCTTGAAACTGTCATATTGGGTATTAGGTTCTAAGATGCAAATTTGGGGCAGACACTGACATTTAGACCATAGAAAGCATCAACAGTTAAAACGCTGGGATTTCAAGAGACAACTAAACTTTTTCCCAAAGTACCCTTATCTACCAGTTACACAAACAGGTTAATAAAAGTTGTTGTTGCACAGATGGCTGTCTTTGAAAAGGGAGGCACCAGAACCCACCTGCTTCTCTCTCCTTTATCACTTTGCTCTCGGCTTGAGTTGGCTTCTTGATAGGCCTTATTGGAATTATAACCATATATCAGTCATGAAGACTAGTAACTAGATGGGAGTAATGATTTCTGATGGCGACATAATTCTTAATAAGCTGCTTACAGGCCCAAGGATGGGGCATGTTACTTTGAAATAAGCATTGAGATATAGGTTAAAATTTCTCATTGTTAACTTGAACCCAGTTAGTAACTAGTTTGAAGGTGGTTTTCTGCCTCTTATCCTTCTTTTTTTTTTCTTTATTAGTATTATTATTATTATTATTATTATTATTATATTTTAAGTTCTAGGGTACATGTGCATAACGTGCAGGTTTGTTACATATGTATACTTGTGCTATGTTGGTGTGCTGCATCCATCAACTCGTCCTTTACATCAGGTATAACTCCCAATGCAATCCCTCCCCCTTCCCCCTCCCCCCCCCATAATAGGCCCTGGTGTGTGACATTCCCCTTCCCGAGTCCAAGTGATCTCATTGTTCAGTTCCCACCTATAAGTGAGAACATGCGGTGTTTGGTTTTCTGTTCTTGCGATAGTTTGCTGAGAATGATGGTTTCCAGCTGCATCCGTGTCCCTACAAAGGACACAAACTCATCCTTTTTTATGGCTGCATAGTATTCCATGGTGTATATGTGCCACATTTTCTTAATCCAGTCTGTCACTGATGGACATTTGGGTTGATTCCAAGTCTTTGCTATTGTGAATAGTGCCGCAATGAACATACGTGTGCATGTGTCTTTATAGCAGCATGATTTATAATCCTTTGGGTATATACCCAGTAATGAGATGGCTGGGTCATATCGTACCTCTTATCCTTCTTAAAAGTGAAAATACACAATCCTTTTGAGCATTTAAAGGAATGTTTTCAAATTTCTAAAAGTTGATAGACACTAGGATATATTGGTTTAGCAAGAGAAAGGGAATCGACTTTTTCAAGATGTGAGTTCACAGTTATGTAAGTTGGAACGGTAAAGTAATTTATTTTCATTCTCTTAGTGTTGAAGTCCTGAATCCTATCTTTTATGTGTCATCATTTGCCAACCAGTCTTATGCTAGAATCTCAAGTGCTGAAATGCTGTTTGTATTCTGCTAACAGGCAAGTTGGTGAACTGCATTGATTGTAGCCCCACTGAAAAGTCAGAGGGACTTGAATTTGGATCTAGGCCTCATCAGTTATCAGCTATGGGACTTTAGTCAAATAACTTAACCCCTATGAGTATTTATTTCCTCGTCTGTAAAGTAAGAAAAATGCCTTTTTTCACTAAATGTAAAGATTCAGTGATATAATTTATGCAAAATTCGTAGTACATTGGCTGACGTGTACTTGGTGGTAATTAAATATGAGGCTTTTTTCTTGATTTGTTGTTGGCAACCCTTCTAAAATTTTCACATTTGCTCAGTTTAAATCTTTCTGAGCTTTCATTTTCTCATCTGTGAAATTGACATCTGTGTTGTCATGAGGATCAAATGAGAGCATATGTCTTTTATCTTTCATTTACAGCTGCGAGCAAATCACACCAGCCTACAAGCCAGATATAATGAAGCCAAGAAAACGCTGACAGAGGTGAGCAGATAGATTTTCCTTCTTCCGTGGGCCCTTGTCAAGAATCGTTTTTGACCTGCACCACTAATGGAATGCCGTGTTTCATCATTCTGTGTATGGGAGACACAATCCTGTTCTCAGAGACGGCAGTCAGTTTGAGACATGGGACAGTTACGTGGTAGTGTGTGACCCATGCCATCAGTTTGCTCACACTGCCACATTCTAGACCCTTAGCGGTCCTGGTGGGAGAGGTCTCTGTGGGCTGTGAGGGTCAGTAAAGGCTTCCTAGGAAGGCGAGCCTGATAGGCTGGGTGGGGCACAGGCGGGAACTCAGAATGTCACTCACAGTAAATAGCCCTTGCCTCTCAAACAGCAGCTGTAAGATCCTGAATTCCTTGAGAGTGAGATGTCTTTTGAGAGATGAGAGAACCTCAGAGTGATATAATTGTTGTTCAGAATTTCCAGTAATCTCCTAGGCAGAATGGAGCAGGGGCTGCAGGAGGAGAAGGAGGACTGGGAGTGCGTTTGAACCCTGCGATTCAGTCTGTAGTCTAGGTTGCAAGTGTGCTGCTACTTCACATCAGCATTGTCGCTGCTCACTTCCCACTTCTGATTGCTGAACAGACACCTCTGCTGCCACCTCTATCATGAGCAGTGTGTAGATATTTCTGTCGCTTGGTTTCCACAGAGAACTATCCTCATCCAGACTTGAAAAGCTCTCTTCCTTCTGAGTTTGGTGCTTGGACTATAGCTGTACTATGGAAGGACCTCGCTGCAAGGTCCCTACCTAGTACTTCCTGGACGATTTGGAAGCTAGGATCTTCAAAGAGGTCTCTGAAACCAACCCAGTCTCCCTACTTTTCTACAATTCACATGACGTTTACCAATTTAAAATTCTTATTTCTGTAGCAATATGTAGCACTTAATTTTCCACCTTGATGTCAACCTGACAAAGCTTTTCAATTCTGGTCTGGACTAACCTCTTCAGTTATTGTCAGAATGTTTCAAAAGAGCAGGCACATGAATGGCAATTAGAATAATTTTTTTCTCATTGTTCATAAAGACGCCTGCCTTGCCTTTGGACAGATCAGCTTCCTTTACACTGCTCTGTGACTGCGTTCCTTATGGATTCGATGGCAAGCTCTGCGGGTTGGGAACCCTCTGTGATATTACTTTTAATGCTGCAGAGCCCCTGGCATGAAGTTTGCTAGTTCTTGGATCTGTCTTTGTATAACAATCTGGAAGAGATTAAAGGGAAAATATCTTGATATCAATTTTCTAAGACATTTATATGCCTTAGGATATCAACTATCAGTGACTTACAAAGGGGCTTTTTATACTAAACACTAAATCAAGTATTTGTTGAGCCCTTTTCATGTTATAGAAAGGTGGAGGGTGTGATTTAAGTCAGTAATAAGACTGTCCTCAAATGAAAACAGCAGCCAACATTGCTCTGGGCCTATCATTCCTGCAGTCATCATTCTTTTTTGCAGATGGGAAAGCTAAGGCAGAGAGGCTAAATAACTTGCCAAAGGCCATGCAGCGGGGGTCAGGATTCAAATACAGGCAGCCTGGCATCAGAGCGCTCTTTGGTAGTTTACTGTCTAATAGGACAATCAGACTAATTCCCATCTGGAAAAATGGGAAAGCTATATAAAACCTAGTACTGAGCAACTTCTGAAGAAGCTTGATTTGGTCAGCCTGTAAGTAATGTCTTTCGCCTCTGGGCCTGGTTCTCCTTACCTATCAAGGTGAGTAGTGAGCAGAATGAACGCTCTGAACCCTTTCACTCCAGGCTTCCCAGATTTTACCTCTTTAGCAAAACCTGCGCTTCCAGGATAACCTGGTGGCACTGAAAAGCAGGGAGGACTTGTGTCTCTCCAGTGAGTCTGGGGACAGCAGAGCAGGGCATGGAAAGTCGCAGACAGCAGTGGTGCCTGACACCCGTGGGGGAGGCTTCATGACTGCTTCAGGAAGGCCAGGAGACTGGCTGTCCCCTCCACTCTGTAATTTCAGCCATCACAGTTCTAATTTCCTGTGTGTGATTGTTTTCATGCAGTATTCTTTTATGTCTAAGTACATTAATTGTATCTGGTTTTGCGTGCTCTATAACTATTACTTAAGATCCGAATTGGCTTGTTGAATTGATACATCTTTTTTAAGGTTATGTCTGTCTGCAGCTGTTTGGTGATCCTTGGTTATATGCTCATCTTTAATTTTAAAATTTCGGATTACCACCTCTGCAGATCCATCCATTTTATGCAGCCCACTTCCTGTGTTTATTCTGGAAGGGATCTACCTACTGTTGGCTGGGGTCAGCAGGTAGTAACTGATGTTCTGGGTCAGGGAACTCCCCATTTCTGCTGGGTATCACCAACTATGCAGGACCCCGCCCTGCCTCTGAGAGTTAAGCACCAGCTCTTGGGTTTAAGACAGTCAGGTTTCATTGCCTAGCCTATGTGGCTGTTCCTAATGCAGATCCCCAACACTGCACGCCAGTCCTTCCTACATCTGCTAACTCCACATAGCTTCCTCCTCAGGCCATTCCTGTCTGTTAACCATCTTTTTTGACCTGTGAGGTTAAACTCTTGTGTTCTAATGTAATAGTCTGGATGGTTGGGAGTCTTAGGGCAAGAAGGGGTGGCTGCGGCCGGGCGCTGTGGCTCATGCCTGTAATCCCAGCACTTTGGGAGGCTGAGGCAGGTGGATCACGAGGTCAGGAGATCGAGACCATCCTGGCTAACATGGTGAAACCCCATCTCTACTAAAAATACAAAGACTGAGCCGGGTGTGGTGGCGGGCGCCTGTAATCCCAGCTACTCAGGAGGCTGAGGCAGGAGAATGGCGTGAACCCAGGAGGCGGAGCTTGCAGTGAGCCGATATCGCACCACCGCACTGCAGCCTGGGTGACAGCGAGACTCCGTCTCAAAAATAAATAAATAAATAAAATAAAAAAGAAGGAGTGGCTGCAAGTTGTGCTTAGTCTACTATTTTCAACTAGAAATCTTGGAACTTTTTTTAAACTTCTCTTTTTTTTAATTTTTGAATAAGTAACACATTCACATGGTACAAAATTCAAAAAGTACAAAGGGTGTAGGTTTGGAGAAACAGTCGGTATTTTCTTCACCAAACAGTAGATACTAGAGATCATTGTAAAAGAGCTACTTCATTTTTTAAAAAATATTGGCTTAGTATTCTGTTGTATGATGTAATTACCTACTTTATGCATTAAAATCCGAGTTTAAGTTTCTTGTTTAAAAAATGTCATTATCTGCCTCACAAAAAGAAGGTGAAGTTGTTCACCTATACTACCAAGGCTCCAGCAACCATGTCTCCATTCTCTCTTGCAGCTTAAGACTTACAGTGAGAAACTGGACAAAGAGCAAGCAGCCCTTGAGAAGATAGAATCCAAAGCTGATCCAAGGTAAGAGGTTTCAGCATGCACTTATTTTTGCTTTGATGAAAGTAACTTTGCTGATACTTGTTGGCTGGATTTGTTTAAACACAGAACAAAGCAGCCAAAGGCTATTGGTCTGGCCGCTGCAGGTCAGATCATTTTACTGTTCATCCAGAAAGTGGTGACTGTGTCATGCTGAGATGTGCTTGGGCTGCCCTGTGTTAGTCACCTTTCTCCCAATACCCCTTGTGTGCAGAAGCAGCATAGTTTTTTGTTTTTCTGTTTTTCAAAATAGTCATACCTTCCTAGTACAAAGAAGGGCATGTGGTAAAAAATCACACTCCTGTCCCCAGCCACCCAATTCTCTTCCCTAGAGTTTACTGTCGTTACAAGTTTTTAAACAGCTCATGCCTCCTTGGTAGAAAAGGTGCAGTCTTTTCTGTCAAGACGCAGCTGCTGTAGTTGTTTGTTCTTCCATGTAGAATGAATTGTCATTAGAGCATTAGAGGAGAGAAAGCACTTAACATTTGACCTTTTTAGCTTCAGACTGTTTGGGTGGTATAAGGTCTCCCAGGAGCTGGTTATTTGAATGAGACTGAAATCAAAAAGTTTCAGGCACAGAATGAGCAGTTCTTGTTTGATGAACATTTTTACCAAAAAGTCCCCACAGGTAATTTGACTCTATAATTATAAACCTTTGTTTCATGAAATGGAGCAAAGCAGTGTCAGATATTTGATATTTTTATTGTCAAATTTGTGCTTTTAATGACCTTAAGTAACTTGTTATCCTCTTCAGAATGGATTTTAAAAATAGTTTTCAATACTGTATGTGCCCTGAATACAGTTGAATAATTGGTATCATTAAATATATCTGGTGCTGTTGAAACTCATTGATGTTTCTATAGTTGGCATTTTAATTCTGGAATCTGTAATGTTTTCTTGGATCCGGCATGATGGTCTTGGGTTTATAAATGAAAAATAATGTCAGTTAAATGGAAGTCGTTATCATTTGTGCAGAATCCGTGAGACACTCTTAGAGCTGAGAAAGGAAATTGAAAAGAGTCCTTTTTTAGCTGCGGACCTGCTTTTAGCTGTGATTCATAAAATCATAATGGCCTGCCATATGTCATTTTCTTGTCTTTTCTCTTCAGTATCCTACAGAACCTGAGAGCACTTGTAGCCATGAATGAAAATCTGAAAAGTCAAGAACAGGAATTTAAAGCACATTGTCGAGTAAGTGTTGTTTGGTGTTAGCAAATAAACCAGGACTCTTACTGAATCTCTTGGTTTACCTCCATTGTCCTGTTGTGATATCCTATCCAGTGCAGTTTAAAAAGCAGATTCATAAAAAAAAAAAAAAAAAGCAGATTCATCCAGCAGTTGTCAGTTGTACAAGCCGAATAGAGCACCATGGTTGGTACCCTACAACGACACCAGAAGGAAGTCAAATAAGTAACTTTGTGCCAAACCCCAAAACAAACAATGCCACCTAACTTTGGTATTTGAAAGAAAAGCTGTATGAAGTTTTTGAAAAAATGTATTTTGTTGACAGATGGCCTTTGTGAAAAGAGTAACATCATACAAAACCAGGGCTGTCCTGAAAACCTGGGATGTCTATGTCCTATGTATAAGTCCTGGCTGCCACCATCTGGAAATCTGTAGTCTGGTCGTGGGGGTGATGTGTGCTCAGGGGACTCTAGTGTGAGAGAGGAAATGAGGCCCGGCAAGTTCTGTGTGAGCTCCAGGGGAGGAAAAGACACTTCAGCACAGGAGCCATTAAAAGCTAGATCTTACTTAAGGGCCAAGGAGGACGGCAAGTGGAAGAGGTACTTGATGAGGCAGAGCACCAGGCTGGAAGATGGACAGGTGAATAAGATTGAGGCCTGCTGGAGACAGGAAACAGACAAGACTAATTGGAACTAGGCTCTAGATCACTTGTTCATTTCAATGCCCAGTGATTACTACCTACTCACCAGCCCTTCAGAAAGAAAGGCCTCTTTCGATGGAGGAAGAGCTGCCTGTAGCCTCCTGAAAAGAACTTTCCCAGGCTGATAATTGGAGATGGGGGCAGCTACCCCATTAGCTTTTGGTCACAGAATAAACTCATGAAATGTGAAAATAAGACTTGTGGACCAAATAGTTGAATAATTGCATCTAATTACTGGCCTGTCTGAATTTTTTAAACGTTCATGTCGCTTTTAAAGGAGGAGATGACACGGCTACAGCAAGAAATTGAAAACCTGAAAGCTAAGAGAGCACCACATGGAGATGAAAAGGTAAAGGCTCTGAATTAGTCCTTGAGACTGTCAGGTGTTATTATGACTTACACAGGGAAAAGATAGTTCTAGAGGACCAACAAGCAGACAGCTGGTGCTAACTCATCCTGTAAATACACATTTCTCAACTGTTTTCCTTCTGTGACCTTCTAAGATTTGCATCCATCTCTTCTCTCTTTCCTCTGGGAGTAAAAGGCAGCAGAGGATGTAGAAGGCAGCAACCCAGACATGAATTACCAGATTACATACTTCTGGCCTCCCTCTGTTTAGGGAGATGTTTCTGGGAAAAGTCTGAGCTCTATTTCCTGCTCACCCATTCTTTACATTTTCTGCCAGTTTACTCATTTCACCTTCCTCCTTTCCTGCTCAAGGATAATGCTCCACTCCCAAAAGGCAGCAGCAAACATGAAGAAGGAGAGGGCAGTGTTGGATTTCACGGAAGAACCCTAAGCTTGCAGGAGAAGTCTAGGTTTAGGGAACACACCTGCACAGCTGGTTCTTGGAACAGAGGACTTGATCTTCCAAGGAGCTCACATGAATTTTTAATTTACAATTAAACCTTAAATTGTAAGGAACAGGGAACTTGAAGCTTAGGGAGAACAAGAGTGTCCAGCCACCCAGCGCCAGACCGCATGCCCTGCTGCCTGGCCCAGCACTCTGCTCTGGACTGTGCCCATGGCTGTACAGGACACTGCCATGCCCAGCGGGCAGACGAAGGTCTTGCAGGGCCCTTTTCACTCTCCTGAGTGGTTGCATTATTTCATCCGAGCCATACAACTCTTCACATCTGTGAGGGGACCGGCATGGGTGAATGGGAGAGCCTAGGAGGCAGTGGTATCCCAGGCTCATCGTCACACAGCCCACTTCTCCTGTTGTTTCTAAAACTTTAAACCTTTAAAGCTCAAATCATCAGCTTGAGTTTTGAGCCTCTGAGTTTGCACGAATTAGACTCTTAGGATCTCATTTCTCTTCTCAGCACATCTTGTTAGCGAGATTCTTACATTCAAAAGAGCTGTACAGTTTACCGTGTTAGTGTGTAACTGACAGACACCTAAGGACAATTTAAAATCTGGGGCTCATCTAAGGGCAGTTCCCTTTCTGCTCTCTTCAGACATGCTCGGGGGACATCAACGCATTTCTCGGCTGCACCCTTATGCCCCTGCCTGGCCCCTTCCTACATCTAGATCCTTGGCTTCTGTCCTATTCCCAAATGTTCAGGAGAGGTGTTTATTATGTTTTCATTGTTTCAGACCCTCTCCAGTGGAGAGCCGCCTGGTACCTTGACCTCTGCAATGACTCATGACGTAAGTACCTGCCTGCTCGGGATTGGCATTGTCTCCTGAGGGCAGGCAGCCAGCTTTCCACTGTCCTGTGATGGCTTCTCATGCCTACTTTAATGTGCTCTACGGCAGACTCTGCATCTAGGCTTTCCAGGGCATTGTCCTGTTTGATACAGCTGGCCCTCAGATAGAGGCAGCGTCTCCCCAGCAGTGGCCCTGAAGGTGACCCTTCTGGTGGGTTTTCTCCCAGTCCTGTGTACAAGCATCTTGTTTTCATGCTGGCATCTCAGCTGGGAAGGGGAGAGGCCTGCGTTGGCCGCATATACTGGTCACCACTCCGGCTCTGAGGGCTTGGGTGGCACAGAGGGGAAAACCTTCTCTCTCTGTTGTACTGTATACCAGACTCAGCGAACTGTTTCTGTAAAGGTCCGCATAGTAACTCTTTTCAGCTTTGTGAGCCAGCTCTGCTGTAGTGACCATAGTTGATCTGTAAATGAATGGACATGGCTGTGTTCCAATAAAACTTTGTTTACAAAAATGTGCCACAAGGTATATTTGGCCCAAAGCCTGTAGGATTTAGCTCACAGGCTGTAGTTTGCCACCCTCTTCTGAGTTAAGCCAGTGCTACCCGCATTCCAAAACCCTCCAGAAGAAAGAGATAGGAAAGGAAGTGGAGGAAAGGAAAAGCATGAAAACTGTAAGCATCTGTCTTCTTTAAGGGTTCCTCTTCCCTTTGTACCCTCATAATCTCCCAGGAGAATGAGCTTCAGCACTCTTCCAGTGAAGTCTGTTGCATTTTGCCTGCAGCTGAGTCCCTTGGGTGGGTGGGTGCGGGTGTGTGTGTATGTGTGTGTTTATATTCCCTGTGCTGAAGAAGGAGGGGCTCCTTTGACCCCTTTTGTAACTTTCTCTGAGACGACAAACCAGCCATGTCTCTTACCTTGCGGGGTTCAATGAGGGACTAGTTTCTTTCTATTTTCTATATCAATGCTGTCCAAGATAATTTTTCGCAGTAATGGAAATGTTCTGTTCTGCACTGTCCACTGTGGCTAGGGGCTATCACATTGGATAACACAGCTCTAAGTAGAAACATAGAAAACTAGCGTCATCTCCAAACACAGGCATAGAACAACACATTCTTTAACTAGTGATTTGTCTCTACATCATCATAGGTTTTTGCAGGGGAAGGGCATATACGTTTAGAGGTTACTTCACTTAAGAATACTGGATTCGTCCTGGGTCCCAGAAGGAGGAGTTGTTATAACATGATATGAGAGGGTATCAAGGGTCTCATATGAGATAGGACCCAGACAGTAAATTTAGGCATTTAAGAAGAGAAATTTAAGGCCTTGGGATGGGGGAGATATGATAAAAACATATTCAACTTTCAAAGACTCCATTAAAGAGTGAAAGTTTTCTATTCTCAGATAATTACAGCCTTTTCCGATTTTTAGGACGACCTAGACAGACGGTACAATATGGAGAAAGAGAAACTTTACAAGATACGTTTACTACAGGTGAGTAAAAGGACAAAAATATGCATAAATTCTTCTAACTAGGTTTAGATGTCCTATGACATAACTAGAAAGTCTCAATATCTAAGAATTAGAAAAGATGAGTAATGAGGCTGCTGTTCACCAGTCTTCTTTCTATCTGGAGTGTAACTCAGTGATTTAAGATGTTGGTATTAACATCTCACATTGGTATGTTACTTTCATAACCACTCCTTTGAGTTAATCCTTACCCCAGGTGGAGAGTGGATATTACATCCCATTTTCTTTATGAAGAAATTGACTTTCCCAGAGTCAAGCAGCTGGTAGGTGCCAGAGTCTGGATTCCAGTTCCCCGGTACTCATCAAGTACTAAACAAGAATTGTGCTACTGTTTCTCTGAAATTAAGTGCCATTTCAGCTGGGTTTTTTTTGTTGTTGTTTGTTTGGATAACTGGTGGTTTGTGAGAGTGACATCAAATATGGGGGAGATAGGTTTCAGAATTAGCTCTAAAGTTTAATTCATGCAGAGTGAAAATTACATTTAAAATCCCCTACATTGCTGGGGTCTGGCTCATGGAAGATCAAAAGCCAGAAGTTCCTTCTGTCACACTTTGGTTCAAGCCAACCTTCTGTTCTCTGGGAGGGAAAGGCCGAGCTCTGGTAGGAATGGCCAAAGGGCTGCAGAGGCCAGTGAGATCGCCTTTCCCCTCTCTCTGGCACCTGCTTACTTTGCTGAGCTGAGATGGCTAAATTTGGGTGAGTCAAATTTGTCCTTGTTACAGTCTCTGCTAATCTTTAAAGAGGCATAGAATTAAATAAAATCGGGACAGTACGGCTGCATATTTGGAAACTTTTTGACTGAGTGCTTTGTATGTATTCAGCATTGCATCAGGTCCCAGAACTAATAGGATGACCCATCTCCTGGAAATGCTGGCTATTTGAGAACCAAGACATGTCTCTATATACATCAAGTTCAAGGGAGTTTATGTGCAAATTGCTTACTAAGGGCAGCTTCAGACTGGCCAGAGGAAACCTTCAGTAAAGCCAGTGGCTTGCTGAGGGCAAGGGCCTGAGTTAGGCAGTGGCTGTAGAATGCATGGAAATGAACTGATGGGACAGATTGCAGGGCTGTAGCTGATGGAACTTAGTATCAATTGAGATAAAAAGAGGAGTCAAGGATGATGCTGGAATTTCTAACACAAGGGTGGATAATATTTGTGTAATTCATAGAGAAGAAGCATAAAAGAGAAGCAGTGGACTAGGGTTAAGGGTGAGAGGAGGAGTATAAATAGGAGTGTTAATGAGATCTGTTTGGGGCTTTTCAAAGTTGGGGTACTCAACCACATTGAAATGTCCAAGGAGTACTTGGTTGTCAGATCTAACTCCCAGAATAGTATGGGCTGGAGATTTGGGTGTCTGCAGTGTTGATGAGGACTGGGGCTGTGGAATGTGGAAGAGGCCCTGAGACTACACCCTGGTGAGCGCATGTGAGGATAGGCAGAGCAAAAGGAGGGATCTCCAGCGAGGATGCGCCTGAGCAGCCAGAAGGGAAAACAAGTGCATGAGGCTCGTGGGAGCCGAGCAGAGAGCTCAGCTGAAAGGAGGGGAAGTGCCACTAGAAATCAAGGCTAGGAGCTGAGAATTGTCCATTAGGTGTGTCCCTGAGAAGGTGTGCAGTGACTTTGGCAAAAGCAGTTCAGTGGGGCACTGGGGAGAGCCCAGTCGCAGTGGGTTGAAGGAGGATTGGCGTGGACAGAGGCTCCCATATGCGTGGCTCTCAGTACATTTCTCTTCCCTATAAAAGGGAAGAGAGAGACTGGTAGCTGAAAGGTGATGGCGATTAAAGAAGGGCTTTTTAAGAAGTGAGGACATAGGAATGTATTTAATGCTGATGAGAAGGGTCAGTAGCTAGAGAAAAGTTACAGATGCAGTAGAAGACTGAAGAGTTGTATCTTAAGACTCCTAAAAGGAAACCAGGAGTGAGCGCCTGAGCACCCATGGGGAGCATAGCCTTGGCCTAAGGGAGAAATACATCCTTCCCTCTCCCTAGAGCTGCAGAGACCCAGTTTTGGATTAGGTCACCAGACATGAATATGGGTTTCCCACCAGGAGTCTCCTATTTACCAGTGAATTAGAGATTCACATCTGCTGCTGCAGGTGAAGCAGGCAGGAGAGTGGGAGGATGTGGTGGACAGAGGGATGCAGGCACAGAAGAAAGGCAGCACTCAGAGCCTACGTGGTCCAGAGTCTACGCATGTTCAGTGGGAGCCATGCACAAATGAGCGGCTTGTTCCCCCTGCAGCTGCCCTTGCACCATGCTACACCACACAGCAGTGCCATGCCTCCCAGACCTGGTCAGTAGGGCAGTTTCCTGAGTCCGTGGAAGGGAGAAAATGCTGGAAAGTATTTGAGGAGTAGGTTGTAGGAGCTTTTCAACCAGGATGAGGAATTTGGGATGTATCTGGAGGCAGCAAGGTGGCGTAGCTTCCCATCATCTGAAGCATTCCTCTTGTTGCCTGTCGCCACCTGGCAGTGGTGCAGCTGGCTACTCTGGACTCCTTGGGGGCCTGGGGGGCTAGCTGCAGGCTCTGTCCATAGCAGCCCTTCCCATTCAGTGTCTTCCCTCCTGGTCCATTTATTTGGTGCCTTCTGTGGTTCAGTTCACAGTCGCCTCCTCCCACACCTAGGAAAGTGGGAAAGTCAATCCGAATCTGAGATGGGGACCTTTATGCCGATGACAGAAGTTTGTGCCTACATTGTAGGGCTTGTGGTTGGGCTCAGGTCGGGGTGCAGGCAATATTTTGGCTCCCTAGAGAATATGTAAGGCCTTTTACCGAATAGTACTGTCTCTACCTTCCTTTTGCATTTAGGCTCGAAGAAATCGAGAAATAGCAATTTTGCACCGCAAGATTGATGAAGTCCCTAGCCGTGCCGAGCTAATACAGTATCAGAAGAGATTTATTGAACTCTACCGCCAGAGTAGGTGCATCGACCACAGACAAGCTCTCCAGGCTGGGGAGGGACAGGCGAGGGGTCTGTTCCACTTTAGCGTGGGGGAGCATGCACCAGAGCGCAGTCCACAAAGGCCACCACCAGAAAGCTCCGTTTCATCAACAGGTCCGCTTGGCAGTCCTGGGAGCAGTACTGGTGCTCTCACTGCCCTCTCCATGGACAGATGGTTGAACCAGTTGAGCTCTTAGAGTAAAGCTTCAAAGCAGCCCTTATCCTGGTCAGCCACATAGCCTTCCCCTGAGCTCCTGCACCACTTTCCAACTTCACACAGAACATCGTGACCCTGGTGTCTAGAGATCAGCCCTCACTCATTGTTCTCTACAGACTTTCTTGCTGATGTGGTCCTTAACCCTTAACAGCATCATATTCACCCAGTAACCCAGGACCATGTTCCCTCAGCCTGAATAAGAGACCATGTCTCATCAGGCTCAGAATGGCCCTCAAGGCTACCATTGCCTTTCTCTTCCTAACACTCCTGCCACATCTGCTCTTGCATCATATCTCAGCTAAATGACCATTAGCTGCAGTGCCTCCAAGTCCCCTAGCCACACATCTGATTCTGTCACTTCTCTCTCTGCTAACAAATCTTCAGGAACTCCTCAGGCCTTACTGAACAGAGCCTCTTTCTTTACCATGTCTGGGTTCCTCCCCAGTCTGAGTGGCCTGCCTGGAGGCCCCTTTCCTGATCTGAACCCTCACTCTGGCCTTGCCAGTCCACACACTGCCTCTGAGCAAACCATAAGCTTTGACGTCTTAGCCTTGACTCCTCCTGTTCCTGGTGCCTGGATCCCTTCTCTTCTGTCAGGCTAAATTCTTCAATACCAAACTCAGATCCTGCAAACCTATTCTAGGTCGCTCACCCCAGGCAAGAACTGATCACCTCTTCTCCATGCTCCTACTCTTGTATGTCCCCATGATACCTCAAACTCAACAGGTACAAAACTGAATTCAGCCCCCCTACCCCATATTCCTCTTAGGCAAACTGGACCCGTCTTACTTCTCTGACTCAAGCTGCTTGCCAATTCTGTCTGTTTCTTCTGGACTGCTGCTGTAGCCACTTTCCTTTGCTGCCCAGAGTCTAATTAGATCTTTTTCAATATATATTTGATCATTTTACTCTAAAAGCTTTAATACTTAGTAGCTCCCTGCAACTTCTTAGGTAATCTTTAGAATCCTAAATACACTGTACTAAGTCCTGCATCGTCTTGGCCCACTTCACCCAGCTTCACCCCTTTTGCACATCTGCATCTTGGCCTGTGAGCTGGTGCCAGAGTCCAGAGTGCCATTATCCTACAATTCCCACTTGCTATTTCAAACTCCACCTAAGATTTTGCCTTGAGGCCTTCGTCTTTCCGGCATCCTTCCTGGTAGAGCACTGGCTCTATTGGAGGAGTTCAGAACATGCTTCCTTCACGCCCTGGCCCCACCAGGCTGGGGTTTCATCCAGTCCTCACACTGGACTCAGATGATCAGAGGCGGGGATCAGCAGTGACAGTTTTCAGCAGAAAGTAGTTTCTGCTTTAAGTTAAATCTTTCCCTTTACTTTTCTATTCCTGCTTGTTTCAAAGCTTTTAGTAATAATAATACCTGCATCTATTTATTTCACGGAACAAATTTCACATAGGTTAAAATCATCTGATAAAGACATGTTTACACTAAGGACATTTTCAAGCAGTTACATCAAAATACCTGTATCATGTATTATTATCAAATATCTACAACCCCCACCCAGTTCTTTAGCTGGATGAGGTAAGGGTGGCTGGTTCATTTGTGGGAGTAATTTTCAACTTTGGGTACTCACTGTCACCACCCGGGTCCCACCTTCAGACGTTCTCCTTTCATTGGTCCTGAGACTTGTTAAAAGCTTCCCAGGAGATTCTGTTTGCGCACTGTGGGGTTTCTGCAGAGTGAGCTCCCAGGCCTGACAAAGCTGTCCTGGCAGTGCATACATGGGGGAGAGGGGCAGGTAGGGTGTTCTGATACCTGTTCTTTATTCATGTGCTGATTGCTTTACCTTTACAGTTTCAGCAGTGCACAAAGAAACCAAGCAGTTCTTCACTTTATATAATACACTGGACGATAAAAAGGTTTATTTGGAAAAAGAGGTAAGAACATTTATGAAAAGAAAATGGCTAAGCAGCTAACAGTGCAGTTGACTCCAGGAAGTCAAATGAACTTGATGTCTAGGACGGATATGTTCAGCATTAGCAGAAAGAGTGCCTGTTTTATGTGCTAAGTGCTGGCATACCCAGTCAGAAAGTACAAGATTCCTTGGGAGCCCAGACTGTCTGCTGTGAAGTGAGACTGGTGGACTGCCATTCTAGAGTGCTGTGGGGGAAATGCCGTTGTTAAAAGGAACACAGTGGAAGCTCTGGAGTTGGTGAGACTAGTTTGAGTTTTAAAGGAAGGGAGGAACCAGCTGAATGGGGGTGGTGGGCTTGTTATAGTTTACAGGGAGAAAATACCTGTTTAATAATCAGTGGCCGACATAGGCATGAACTAAAAGGTTTGTAAAATTCAAAGCAGGGGTGAAAGGGTCACTGTCACTTCCTTCATCTTTCTAACGCTTAAAAACTCAGGTTAAATTAATGGCTCAGGGCTTTCCCAAGTTGATGGCAAATGGTTTGGGCACAGTATGCAGATATGTCTTAATTTAGAAAAGAAAAGTCCTGGTCTTCACCATGGCAGCAGGTGTCCTGAAGAGAACACGGGCTTTGGCGTCAGTCAGATGTGGGTTTGTTTGGGTTTTAGTGTGGCTCATTTTTCTCACCTGTAAAATGGGGATGACACCTAATTGCATTGATGATGATTATAATGAGGACAGAATGAGAAAATGTAAAGTTCCTTACACATGATGGATTCTCAGTACATACTTGTTCCTACCCTCCCCCTCACCTTGAGGTTAACAGAATGTGTTTTCATTTTATCACCTTGTAGCCTACACTAATTACCACTTTAATAAGGATAATATTACAAATGTATCTTTTACCTGAACCCAAATTGAAGCATCTGTAATTACTGTCACCTTTACTGCCTGCTGTCAGACAAACCAGGTAGATCTCTGTCATCCTAGAGGGCCCTCCTTGAGAAGTTGTTTTATTTTTTTCTGTATTCGAGGCCTTACACAGTGGTAGGCGTATAACAGACATTTGATAAACGTTTGAATAGATGAATGCATTTTATGGGATTTGCATCAGACCTGGGGAATAGCTGTGCCCCACATCCTGGCCTTGAGGCCCTCCTACCTGGCAAAGGAAAGATTTGCCAACCCTGACTTAGGGATAGGCCAGCCCCTTCCCAAAGGCCTTAAATCCCATTGACCTTCCTTCATCAGCAGTGTTTAAAGTTGTTCCACTGTTTAAAAACTAGGAATTTTGCGAGGCAGAGTGGGGAGCTGGGCTTTTTAATTCCAAGGCATGTTACCAGTTTAGAATGTTACATTTGAATAAAGGTGGTATTTTATCTTAAATGGATTTATGCCTGTGATATTTTAACTTTAAAACCTTCCTGTGGAGGCCGGGCGCGGTGGCTCAAGCCTGTAATCCCAGCACTTTGGGAGGCCGAGACGGGCGGATCACGAGGTCAGGAGATCGAGACCATCCTGGCTAACACGGTGAAACCCTGTCTCTACTAAAAACTACAAAAAAAACTAGCCGGGCGAGGTGACGGGCGCCTGTAGTCCCAGCTATTCGGGAGGCTGAGGCAGGAGAATGGTGTGAACCCGGGAGGCGGAGCTTGTAGTGAGCTGAGATCCGGCCACTGCACTCCAGCCTGGGCGACAGAGCGAGACTCCATCTCAAAAAAAAAAAAAAAAAAAAAAAAAAAACCTTCCTGTGGAGTAGTAAGGACAAGAAATAGTCTACATTGCAGACTGTGAACCTAAAGTTCACACGTGGTATTTACTTAGTTCTGAGCTCCCAAGTTGAGTCGTTTTATGGCCAGAAAGATGATCCAGGTTTCCTTACTCCTGCCTCAGAGCCCTTCCAAGGACCGTATCATTGGGGCAGATAAGAGGATTTGCTGTGAGGCTAAGGCAGTGTCCACCGGGCCTTGAACAGTGCGTCCCCTCGGAGGCACTCAGCCACCCAGCAGCTTAGCTTGCTGCATTGGCAAGAAGATTCTGTGGGAAGGAATAGAGTGTAAATGACTCTCACCCTCCACACTGTCTGACTCCCTTAAGCTGTTATCCTTGAAAATAAAGTGCAGTGTTTGGCAAGATAGAAAGGACTGTGGTGGCAGCTTGCCTAGAGAGCCCTAATGTTAGCTTAGTGTCCTCTCAGCTGGGATCCAGGTCCCTTCAAAGCACCCTCTCCCTACATTCCTGTGGGAATGCCCTGTAGGAAGAGGGAATTTTCTGTGAGAAGAAGGTGGATTCCCTGAGGAAAACTGTGAGACAGAACATGTGGCTCATTTTTTTTTTTTCCATATGTTACTTTAATCTTCATAAACAAGGCTTGTGTTCCTTGCAGAAGCAGTATGTGGAGACAGGCAAGCTTGCAGCAGTTGCAGTAGTGTGGAAATCTTTTTGCCTGTCTTATAATTTCGTTTGTTTTTTTACTTCCCCAGATTAGTCTGCTGAACTCAATTCATGAGAACTTCTCACAGTAAGTACTGTCAGTCCTCCTTCCCACTAATACCCTGTCACCCTGCACACTTTGAATTCAGCCCACCTTACACTGCTATCCTGTGCTTCACAAAAGCACATGCAAGACTTAACGCTGGGTATGTGATTCTTACTCTTTTAGCCCTTCTGCTAGGTATCTTGTTTACACTCTCCTTGAGTACCTGCAAAACTATAATGATAGTCGAGTGAAGGAAGAGCTTAGGAAAAAAGTTAACTTTCCAATAATTTGGCTGTGCCTACCTACTAAAATCTCTCTATATATTATCAAATTAATATTTGTTAATGAACACACAGAGATGCTTTAAAATTTACATAATGGAATTTATATAATTTTTTAGATTTTTAAAATCTCACGGTAGTTTTTTTGGTTAATGTGTACATTGTTCTCTATAAATTAGATGTCAAGGCCCACCTGTTCCCAAATCAAGCAGCCCTCAAGCATGTCCATTTGCCCACCCACCATCCAGCAGCCCCAGGACTTGCTCCTTAGAGAGCATGCTTCCCTTCTCTCTGGCATAAATCTCTGCTGTCCTCTGGCAGGTGACAGGGGACACATTGAGACTGAGATCTTAATGAGTTACAGGTTCTAGGTTTTAAGCTTCTTTTCTAAAAAAAAAAAAAAAAAAGAAGCCCACAGCCTTCTAATAAGATTCAGATTCACTGTGTAAAATACCTTGTGACATTTGTAAAAATGCCATTTTCATCTTTCCCAATGATTGAGAGAGCCTGTGGTTTGAGTGTCTTGTGAAGAGTTCTGCTCCGTCAGCCCATCCTTCAGGATAATTCTCAGTGCGTGCATGCGGTGGGGTGTGCGTGTTTGTGTGTTTATGTTCTGATCCTCCTGGTGTCCTTCCCTCTGCAGAGTTGGAGGTGAAGAAGAATGTTTTAGGACATCAGGGAATCTACTTGTTTAGCTGCTGCTTCTAGAAATAGGACCAGATTTCTCAGACCTGGTTTTAGGAAATCTCAGAATATGTCTACCAATTTCAAGTATCTGCCAATCCTCAAATTTTTTTATAAACCAAGTGAAATCCATTACTTAAGCAGTACATGTCATATTTCAAATAAATACTGTTTTTGTTAATTTTAGTCACGTTTTACTTTAAGGAAATACGTATTAGTTATGAAAGTTACAGGGAAAGTATGACAAAAAGATTAATATGCAATTATAAGACCAGGCTAATTTCCATGCCTTCTCAGAGGTTTAGCATCCTTAATTGCCTGGGATCGCAGGGGCCCCCATGGCTCCACTGTGCATTGCAAAGGCCTGATTGCCTCTCTCAAGAGGTATAATCTGGATACAGAGCTGACTGCTTGGCATTTCCCCCCACCTCAGAGTCCTGTGTGCTGGTCATAACTCTGCTGGTTTTTCTTTCAGAGCCATGGCCTCCCCTGCTGCCCGGGACCAGTTTTTACGTCAGATGGAACAGATTGTGGAAGGAATTAAGCAAAGTAGAATGAAGGTCAGATGGCTTCTTTTCTGTAATGTAGCCCAGGTTTTATAGTGGTGACAGGGAAAGTCCTGGGAAGAACAGGTCTCTTCTGGTAGCTGGGGAGTGTGCCCTCAATCCTGAAAAGACACATTTCTACAGAGGGATTCCCACCATGCGTCTTACTCTGCAGTGGGCAGGGCCTGTCCCATGAGCTGCCTACACCCAGGGGTTCAGAAGTTGCTGTTAGCAGCAGCTCCCATGTATTGAACACCTATTGTGTACCAGGCATTGTGCTGACATTCCTGAAAGACCTCGGAAGTGAACAGTATCACACCCATTTTACAGATGAGGAGACCACCTTTCACCAGCAGGCTTCCGCTCTTGACTGGATTCGCTTCCTCGGGGGATCTGCGGTACCTGACATTCTGCCACAAGAGATTCATTCCTTAGGAATCTTAAGATCTTGAGAGCATTTTAGTTTTCAGGAACCCCCCTCTAAAAAAGAGAAATCATTGCTGAACTGAGTTCTGCCAAAGTGAGAGGCAATGGAGCCTCAGAAGTCTGAAGAGAACAGAGAGGCACCACTCAGTCAGGGTACAGCATGGGGTTTTCCTACAGAGACAGCTGCAGTTTCCTACCGCCATTCTCAGATGAATCCTGACTCGTACTTCCAAATATCTCTTGCTTATGGTCCTGTTTTAAAAATGTATCACACCAGAGTGGTTCTCCGACATGGCGGTAAAATCTTCCAGGGACGTCGGGTTTCTCCTCTGATGATCTTGGGGCAAAGGGCTCCAGTGAGTGATGCCAGAATATAAACACAAGAAAAAGAATTGTCCATAGGTCCTGTCATCCTACAAAAACCCTGTTACAGAAGACAAACGTTCAGGTTGCCTGTAATCTCATCTCACAAGAGATGAGCTAAGGGCAGAAGTGTTCCATGTCCCTTTCCCTGTAGAAAAATACCATGAATCTCTCTGTGAATGACCTCAATAAAACAATGTCAAAGAGGAGAGAAAAAGTATCACTAGTAACAAGCACGATTTCTTGGACTATTCAACCGTCAAAATTAGAACGACATAAGTCAGTGCTTGCCTGTATATGCGCACTCACCCAAGTCAGGATAGGCTGTCTTGCAGAGAGCGAATGCAGTCCCCTCTCAGTGACCTGGGATGTGAGTAGGTGGAAGGCAGAGAACCTGGCTAACCAAAAGCCTGTGACAGCCCACGTGTCAGTGTGTTAGACGCTTCCTCCATTCTGTTGCTCCTCAGGAAGCTGCTGTGGTTCATAGTCAAGAAGAACAGGAATTTGTGGGTTCTTTCCTTTGACTTCTGCTTCCTGTTTACAGAGAGCAGTGTAAACAGGAAGTGGAAACCAAAGGAAAGAAGCCCATGAATTCCTGTTGTTGACTATGAGCCAGAGCAGAAGAAGAAATGGGCCTCACCCCTTCACTCTCTTCACTTTCCCCCAGGCTTCATGCTCTTGGCCCCTCAGGGCTGACCAGTGTGGAAACCAGGTGCTGCTGTATCTGTCTCTCCCCTCCATGGTGGGTGCCAAATGGGTCAATGGCACCCAGGGCAGAGTGGGCTCTCTTTCTCTGGTCTGCATCCCCAGTGGCTGATGTAGCACCTAACCCATGGTTAGGCCCTCAAGGACTATTTGTTGAATGGGTGAATTCTTTCAATGGAGTCAAAGAGCAGTTGTCAAAGAGGGTTCCAGATACACTTTGAATGTTGAATGTTGATTGACACTCTGGATAGAACAGCACTCACTTGCATGGATGTGTTTTATTGTGTGTGTTTGTTTGTTTTAAATGTAGCTTTCCCTGTAACAGTGCCATAATGGGTCCTGCTCTCATAGATGTGGCGGAGGAGTCTGTGTCCTCTCAAGCACAAGTTTCTCAGAACCAGCAGGTTCAGAGTGTTACATAGCAGACCAGCATTGGGTAACAATGATTGAATAGGTGTGAATGCTGAGGTCACATATCAGTCAGCATTTTGACCTCACTCAGAGGAGGTAAGGTCTCTGGATCTCTGGAATACTGTGAGCAAGTGCTTGGCACAAGCACTTCACAGACCTAGGGTGTGAATAGGTGATAAGTAGGGAATAACAAAGTTACGTTTGGGTAAGGGGACACTGAGAAGAGTGTGCAAATGAAGCTTAGATCAAAGATTCAACTCCTGCTTCTCAGAGTGAGTTGGCATCCTAGGATGTGAAATGTTAAGAAGAAAAACTGTCTTTGTTGAGCAGCTACTATGGATGAGATAATGGATCATTCACTTAACATTTAATGTCACAAGCTTCTCATAACAAAACTGGTGATCTAGGTGATATTCTTATTTTAGCTAAAGGACCTGGCATTCAAAAAAGTTAAATTAGCTGTCCAAGGATACACAGTGAGTGGCAGAACTAGGATTTGAACCCAGCCTTTCTGGCCTCAAGCTCATATTATTTCTAGGTTGCCACAGTAACTCCCACAGTGGATCCTGGATAAATTCATAATTCAAACGGATTGCTACCTCACTAGGACATAATCAGTATGGTGAAGTGTTTTGCTAAAGCACAGAGCAGAGAGGAAAGTCCTGAGATAAGAGCTGCTGGCTGTCCTAATAAGAGAGAGGGACCTAGCTGTGAGGTCCTATCCAGCACAGCGGAAAAGGTGTCTGCTGCTTTGAGCGTTGGAGCCCACAAAGGAACAGTAGTGGGAGCTGTGGTGGGCTGGTGTGTCACTGTGACAGGATCGTGAGTGGGTGTGAGAGACCCATGGAGGCAGCATTAGGGGTTCCGTCGGCAGGGATCAAGACTTGCTGCTGAGTCAGGGCTCCAAGTGTAGTAGGACACCAGCCAAGGACCCCAGAGGGCACTGCCCACTCTGGGAGACCTGGGCACAAGAGGGCACCAAACTGGAGACCTAGTATGGGTGTGTACCAGGCATCCATATGCAGACCTGTGAAAAGAGCAGGGCACAGGGTCTTGGGACTCAGGAACTAGATGCAAGGTCAGGATTTGACCAGGCAAATCAGTCCTCATATGTGATGGGTCTTTCTCTGAACAGCATTGGGGTAGGCCTTGGGGACACCAAGTTGCATTTGTCCTATGCAGTCAACAGAGGCCTATAGTGTGGAGGGAACTACTGAATAAAATGCAGCCAGTTTACCTGTAGCTTATGTTTACCAAAACCCTTCCAAAGTGTAACACAGAAATCATGGTCAGGCATCAGCAAAGCCATGGCAAAGCATCTTTCAGAATTTGATTCAACAAGCTTTCGAGCACCAGCCATGAGTCAGGCACCCGGTCTGTACCGTAACTCTTTCTGCCCTCGTTTCCTGGCTGATGCTCTGGGTTTACCTTCTGGACATATAGCACATAGCATTGCCAGCCTTGCTCTAGTGTCCTCAGCCTCCCTGAGCTTCCAGGCTGAGGAGGCCATGCACCCACCATCCTCTCCATCACCTCCTCCCATGTCATTTTCCTCACAGGACTGATCAGTGTTGGGAATATTTTGTGCGTCCATTTGTCAGGGTGCTTGCTTAATGTGAATCTCTACAATGTACGCTCTGTGGGAGCAGTGACTTTGCCATGTTCACCCTACGTGTAGCTACTCAGTAGATTCTAAGTCAATATTTGTTGAATGAATAAGCTTTTGGGTACCTTAGAAAAGTCTCTTTAAATCAAAGCCTAGCATCTATTTATGAGATCTAAATCCTGAAAATATCCTAAATTGTCTACCAGTAGAAAGATGGGTAAGTTAGCAATCAGCAGGAACATTGTGTTGTTTTTAAAATGATAATTTGTAGAAAGTTTGTAATGACATGGAAATACTTACATTAAATCAAAAGAGGATACACAGTTTTATTATATGAGCACAATTATTTAAATCAAGGTTTCTCAGCCTCAGCACAGTTAACATTTTGGGCCAGATAATTCTTTGCTGTAGGGTGTCCTGTGCACTGTAGGATATTTAGCAGTGTTGCTGGCCTCTACCCAGTGATACCAGTAGCACCTACTCCTCACAGTTGTGACAATCAAAACTGTCTCCAGACACTGCCAGGTGGGGAGTGGGGGGTCAAAATAGCTCCCAGTTGAGAATCACCAACCTGTCCATTGTGAAATTGTAGTGAGAAAAAAAAAATGGAAACAGTTAATACTCAGTGTTAGAAAAATTGCTGAATAAATTGTAGAGTCTCCATGTAATATCATGCAAATAAATTAACCAACCTCAAAAATTATATATTGAAGCTTCCTTTGCTGGGAGGAAATCCACGAAACTGTTAACAACTGTTGCCTTTCGGATGTTGCCAGCAGCCCTTGGGCAGAACGTGTCTTTTCATCACCATTTCCCACAATGTTTCAACAGATGGAAAAGAAAAAGCAAGAGAACAAAATGAGAAGAGACCAGTTGAATGACCAGTACTTGGAGCTGTTAGAAAAGCAGAGGCTATACTTTAAGACTGTGAAAGAGTTCAAGGAGGTAAGAGGAAGGCTGGGCAGCACATTAAGGCTAACGTGAGATATATGTTCACCTCAAAAGTAGCCACTAAAAAAACAGCAGTGTTTTGGTTTTCCTTTGGTCTGTGAAGGGAAATAATAAGACAGAGTGTGATCTGGCAGTGAAGTGTGGCATCTAGGTAGCTGAAGATTGCATTTTTCTATGGCCCATCTTGAGATCTAATTAAATGTTTCAAGACATCACATCATTTTAGTTTTCCTAACAGTAAGCACATTAAACTCACAAAATGACTCCATCAGTCCATATCAAGGGCCACCTGGAAACAGCATTTGTTGTGGATTCAGATACAGAATCTCCTCTCCTGCCAATCTTAGGGTAGGGAGGGACCTCAAGAAACTGTGGGAAGAGAGAACTTTGAAGTGTCACAGGTTTGGATTCGATTCGAATCCTACATTTACCCCTTTCCAGCTGTGTACTTTGGTAATGACCTAATTCCTCACAGCCTCAGTTTCCTCATTTGGTGGGTTCTGTTGGGTCAGATGAGAAATTTGAAACATCCAGCACCAGGTCTGGCATCTCCTAACACCCAACACTCAAGTCAATTTTGGTTTTCCCTGTTTTTTCTTCCTGCATTTGGGCAGTTACTCTTCATTGTTCCAGAAAGAAAAGTGCCTGCCCTTAAGAGATTTTCCAAAAAGACTTCATTTTGTCCCTTGCTAGGGTCTCAGCAGCTTTATTTTAAGGAATTCTCCCTAACCTAAATCCATGTGGTTTCAGTGAGTTTAGAGACTGCTGAAAATACAGCAGAGTTAAAGGTAGGTTGTATCCTGGTGTTTGGTCTGCAGAATAAAAAATGTAGTCTTCCCATGCTCATAATTTTGTTCTTATTTTAAGACTTTTCTTCCTTCCTCATCTTTCCCTTCTCTTCTACATCTTTTTTGTGATTTAACTTCTGGAAGCCACATCCCATAGGCATTTCAAAATGTCATCTTTTCCAGTGTTCCAGCTCCTACTATACCCCTGGACAGATGCCAGGTTGTAACGCAGACCTCCCCCTCCTTAAGGAGCATACGCTGTGGTGGGAGAGACGGATAACAAGCTAAGAACAAGTCATAACAAATAAGTAGTAACAATTCCAGACTTTGCCGTGTGAGGAGACTGGTTTAGGTGGTGTGGTCCGGGAGGGCCCTGTAGGTTGAGCAGGACATAGCCATGGGAAGAAAGAGTTCTTCAGCCATAGCAGTGCAGGAATGGGGAGCGGAGGGTCTGCGGCTCAGTCTGGGACTCCTTTGAGGCTAGCACAGACGGAAGCTGAGGTCCCAGAAGGGCCAGTGAGCAAACTGGCAGGGAACAATTAGGAATTTGCTGCCCTACTCAGAGCTCCTCCTTCCCTTTAATCAAAACTCACAAAAGGAGAACTGCATCTCAAATTTTGCTTGGAGACACCCTTTTGACAGTGTAGAAACAAAAAGCAAGTAAGTTGAGGAGGATAAGTATAAGCTGTCAAAGCAATTGACAATGAAGTGGAAAAGCTCATTCTCGCCCAGCAGGCTCTCAGGTGAGAGCTTAGGATGACCTCCGAAGCACCAGTTCCTTCAGAGGTGTTAAGTGGCTTGGGTCTGAGTTCCCACCTGTGCTGGCAGTCATTGTCACACCAGACACAGAGGGTGGTTCCTCCAGAGCCAGCTAAGACACCTAGACCAGATTCTTGCCGGGCCTCTTTCCCTGAGTCCAAAGCAAGTCAGAAGAGGGGGAGGGGATGAAATATGTTCTTACATATTTCATTTAAATATATTTCACCGCACATTTAGCATGCCCTTTTATTTTTTGGTGTTAAAATTGTCTTAGAAAATAATTGTGATGGTGGGTAGTCCTTTTTTTTTTTTTTTTTTTTAACATTTTACTTGGCAAAAATTTAAAATTGGCAACCACATGTCAGTGTTCCAGCATCTTAAACTTTCTCCCACAAGCTCCTGCGAGGTAATTTGGGGCCACCACAGGTGTTGAGGAGGAGGTGATGATAGGGACTTGCTTGCTACTCCACAGCCTCTACCCCATATCTTCAGCCAGACTAGTTCTGCTGCTTTTCTGTTTTATACATTACAGTTTAATTTGGACTTTCATCCAGGGTGGAGCCTTCTCCCAGCACCCTCTATTTTGCCTTCTCACCATCCTCTCACTGGTTTTTACATTCTAAATTCTCACTGCATCCTGGGCCCAAGCACTTGTAGTGTGCCATAATTATTCTTCATGGAAAACACAACATTATTGTCTACGAGATGGTTTTTTGCCAGCTTTTTTGCCAGCTTAGCGGTTGCCTTCGTTGGGTTTGGTTTACCCCACGTTAAATGGGTCACAGTGATGTGCCATGGGCACCATTTAGGTACCAAGTCATGCCTGCATCCTGACTCCCAGCCTTCTCTGGTTTCAGAAGCTTCTTCATTAGAGACATTGGGTTTTCTCTAAAATCCCGTTGACTTGCCCTGAGAGAGCTGATTAATTGTAAGTCTGCCAGGAAACATGTACTCTGACATCACCTTAATCACAGTATTAAGTGAATAGTGTCTCTAAGCCACAGTTTCATCAGGTCATGAAACTAAGATTTAAATTCAATAGCACTGATGAATTCAAACCCTACATTTTTGTGAAGCTGGCTTTGGGTACATAACCTTGAGTGAACTTAGCTCTCTGTCTGGCACCTAGTGGGCCTGGATAGAGTTTTCAGCAGGAAGGAGACTGAGGTGATGAGACATTCCCTTTTCTTCTAGAAACAAACAGCCAAAGCGCCTCTTTTATATTTGCTTTGAAGAGACGGAGACTATGATTCTGTAGGCTCACATACTAGGTGACATTGTAGGCTGTCTCTACCGAAAAGTATGAGCATCACCTAGTGTGCTGTGACACACACCGTTCCCCACGGTAGAGTTCGGATGCTTCTGGGTGGTTTTTGCCTCATTTAAATGGTGAGGTGGGTGACAGTTTAAACTTATTTACCGTTTTATATTTTTGTTATGGAAATCTTCAAAAATACACAAGTAGAGAGTGTAGTATAACAACATAATAGTGTAGCTCTCTCTTCTTCTTCCATCTCTTCCCCTCCATTTGTTTTAAGCTGGAGTCTTTTTTCCCTCAAGTACATCTCAATCCATTTTAAAAAGGAAAACTTTGTTATTTTCTAAAAGAAAATAACATGTGACCCAGCATCACCTTATTTCTGTCACCCCCACCGCCCTCCCCGTGAACTGCCTCTCTCTCCCCAAAAAGGTGCTGAAAAGTGTCAGAGCGCCTTGCTTCTGACAGCCTCACAGTCTTCAGCCTTACCACCAAGGCAAGCACCCACCTGTTTCCTTGTTCCCTGAGTGAAAGATATGTCTGAATCCTGTAGATGAGCCAGCACTAGCCTTAGCTAAACCAAGGTCGTTGTGGTCATGCTGCCATCACACCGCCAAAAGATCAGGACCTCCAGAGAGCTGAGAGCACCTGACCCTGGCCCAGGGAGGTGGAAAAATTGACCATGGGGGTTTTGAGTGCAGAAGGTTCAAGGGTGAAAGTTTTTCTCCCACAATAAATGCACGTCCAGGAAAACACGGACCCTGGAGGCCTGACCACTGTCAAGCCTGTGAGCTCTACCTCTCCGGGCCCTTTCTGCTACCACTTTTATCTCCCAATTTAAAAGCAGGACTCCTTGTGACCCTGCCCAGAGAATGGGGTTGGAGTTATTGGAGGTTTGCTAGCAGATGGAGGCATCCTGAGCTACTAAGGCCAGTGGAACGAGGGCAGGAGGCGCAGTTAGAAGCTTTTGAAGATGACTCCAGAAGGGAACATGAAATGATGCAGAGGTGACTTATGCCACTGGATGTCAGATTCTACAGGCAGAGGTTGGGGCAGTGACCTCCCTCAATGATAACCTGTAGCACACGCCATTGATTTCATACAGCTTGGTTTTAAGGAAGGGCGGGTTATCTTTTTTTTTTTTTTTTTTTTTTTTTTTGAGACGAAGTCTCGCTCTGGCGTCCAGGCTGGAGTGCGGTGGCACGATCTTGGCTCACTGCAAGCTCCGCCTCCCGGGTTCACGCCATTCTCCTGCCTCAGCCTCCAGAGTAGTTGGGACTGCAGACGCCCGCCACCACGCCCGGCTAATTTTTTGTATTTTTAGTAGAGACAGGGTTTCACCGTGTTAGCCAGGATGGTCTCAATCTCCTGACCTCGTGATCCACCCGCCTTGGCCTCCCAAAGTGCTGGGATTACAGGCGTGAGCCACCGCGCCCGGCCCCGTTATCTCTTGATGAATATCTTTTATCCTATTTTCTGAGTTTCTTAAAGACAAGAATATTCTTAACCTTCACTGTTGTTAGAACTCTACGTGTTTTGCCTGCTGTGTAAACTAGGGCTCCCTTTTCTCTCTTTTTACGCTGCTGTCTCCAAAGCCTTTCCCCACTCACTCACCATAGTATGCCAAGACTGGCAGATAAGTGTGCTTTCTGCTTCCATCCTCTTGATGTTTCATAGACTTCATGAAGTCTTTAGGAATGACAGTGCCTATCCTCTCATCCTGTTTTCAGTCTGACAGCCCAGAAATGGAGCATCATTATAGTTATTTTGGTGTTGATGTCATAGGTCATCAGGAAGCTTCACCATGCTGGCGGCAGCATGCCAAGAGACTGGGTTGGCCAGGAGATGTCTCCCATAGGGATATGGGAAGGGCACTGAGACCATCTTGGCCTCACATGGGCGCTAATGTAGTCACCACTCTCTCTATACTCTGCTTCTCCTCCAGGAGGGCCGCAAGAATGAGATGCTGCTGTCCAAGGTGAAAGCGAAGGCCTCCTGAACATCCCCAGCCATGGTTGTATGTCATTGATTTTACTTTTAAGCACCGTGTATCAACTACAAGATCATGAAATGGTTCTGAAAGCGACAGTAGAGAGATGCAGGTGTAATGGTTTCAACAACCTGGATGTTTTCTTTCTCCTCTTTGCTTCCATTCATCTCTGTTGGCTGCTGTTGATGGAATCAGACCGTAAACATGTGGCTTGGATAACACCCGTCATCCTGTGAAGAATGTCGGCAGTACTTTTCTCTGTTGATCAACTTTTATGTCTCCAGTAACATTGCACTTACAAAGGTACCTGTATTTGTGTGGACTCTGAATAAAGAAGAATTCATTTGTTTAGCAAGTATTAATTGAGCACCCACTGAGAAATAAGCACTGAGGAAGATTCAGAGACATGTAAAACAGAGTTCCTACTGCACAGGCACCCAGCAGGTGGCCCAGGGAGGCAGATACACAGCACACTTGACCACAGAACTGGACCATCTGAGATGTTTTTCAGCAAACAGAAGGCATGTAGCTGAAATGATCAGCCCATGTAGTGTTGGTCACTTGGGCCTTTCACCTGCCATGGTACCTTTTGTTCCCAGCTCCTCCAGGTGCCAACCAGCAGGCTTGGTGACAGCAACTGGAATGAAAATTCAGTATCATTTTCATTTTTATACGTTACTCAGGTTTATTTCTCAGAAAATTGAAAACAGACCTTGTGCTGAGGACACTTCAATAAAAATTACACCTTCCCCTGCCCCAATGTTCATTTGAGTCACAGCATGCAGAGGGGCTGTGCATCCCCCTCATTGAAGGCACATTCGATGAGGCTACACTGCAGATGGGTCATGATCTGAGCCAGGAGAGAGAGAGAGACACTGTTCCCTGCACTCAAGGCAAGTAGGGTGTCAGGAGGAAGAGCAGTGGGGTTTGCAGAGATCCAGGGAAACTTCCTGGAGGAGGCAGCATTTGGGCCCAATCTAAAGGGAGAATTGGATGTTGACAGGCAGGAAGATTGTTTTAAATGAAAATACGCTATGATTAAAAACCCAAGAGGATGCAGAGGAGTGCAAGGCATGCGTATTGGGAAAGGAGGGGATAAACTGGTCTCTTCAGGAGGCTTCAGAGACCCATCTAGGAAGTAGGGCTGAGACTAGACTTTGGAGGGCCTTGGAAGGGCAGCTGATGGTTGACTTTAATCCTTGGAAATAACCAGTGCAGATCAGACACGGAGCTCCTGCTGCCCTCGTCCTCAGGAGTCTGGTAACTCAGTCATGTTCAGTAGGTTTCTGCTCCATTCTGCATAAATCTTGCAAACATACTAGGCGGCAGGTTTGGACAGTAAGCTTGACACAAAAGCTTAAACATGTCAAGCAACTGGAGCATTCAGCAGCCACAGAAATGTGTTCATTTTTAGTTCCCTAATGGATGTGATTAAGCAGGGCCGACATGTACAGATTCAAAAACACACACACACGTGCTGGATTAAAAACAGCCACTGGTTTCAGTGCCAGGGCCAGCAAGGCCTGCCTGAGCCAGGGGGAAGCAGCAGCTTGCAAATAGAAACTGCCACGTGAGGGCGCTTCTTGGGCCATGTGCAGCTCCGCCTCAGCTGGGCCCTGAGCCGCGGTCATGTGGGGGTTTTGAAGGGCTGGGTGAAGTTGAAGCAGTAATTGCAAAAGAACAGGTGGCACTTTGAGGGCAGGGGAAGGAGACAGAATTTTGACTGTGTTTGAAATTATTTCAGTCAGGGAAACATCTGCGTTATCTTGTTAAGCAGCTTGTAGGCCCACCCCTGGCTAACTGAACTTTGTGAGCAGTTGGGGCAGTTATTCGAATATTTGTCCACAGATGGTAGGGAGGCAGATGACATTTTGGGGTTACTGGAGTCCACCTCTGTGCTCATGGGGAAAGTACGGCATGATTAATCCAAAGCAGCCAGTAATTCTGTTTGAAAGTGCAGGCATTTATTTTGAGCTGTGTTTCACAGGAGTTTCATTTGGTTTGGTTTTGGTATAGAGAGGTGTCCATAGATCTCTATTCCCTTTTTTTTTATCCACAGGGCCTACTACGGATGAATCAGTTTCTGTTGCCTGAATACACTTTGAATTAGGCTACAGAAGCCAGTTTGAGCTCAGATTTCACACTTGCTGCAGGCAACCCTCAGTGTGGACATGTCTTCTGAGTAATTAGGATATGACTTTATAGTGTAGCCATACAGGCTAAGGAGATGCCCCAAGGCCCCTGATCATTTCAGAAACCACCTGGAGAGCCAGCAGGGGTCTTCCCAGGGCCATGGCTCTCTGTATGCCTAGACATAGTGTGGCATTATGCTCTAAGCCCACAGGCTTCCCCAGAGTTAAAAGGCAGCAAGAACATCCTTAAGTTACTTTTGTAAAATGTGCGCTTCAGGAGGAACCAGGTTTCCCCAGGAGGGACAGGTGCCCTGCTCAGTCAGCACAGGGAGTTGCTAGCGGGCAGGCTGCACAGTGCTGTGGAGTCTCCGCCAGCCTCTGGGTTGGGGGCTCCTTCCACTACGTGCTTCTTAAGGAGTGCCTGGGACTGCTCTGCTTAAGCCGCAATCAGAGCTGTTGTGAGCAGGACAAGATTGGGTGATCGCAAGGTGCGTGGGGAGATGCTATTTTGATATCTTTGACCTGTGCTCTGTCTCTACTGGATGACTGGGGTTAGCTAACACCACTGGAGGGAGATGCAGAGTGTTAAACAGTCGTCAGAGTCACGCTGAGGGGTTTTTTAACAGAGGACAAATTCCCAGTTTGTCAAGCGTATCTCTGTTAGAGTCTGAAGTTCATCGTTTTAATAGTTCTAGCTCGTAGCCCTTACATATTTTCAGGATAGCTGGGTCCTGCCAGTGTCCGCTGAGTCTGTCAGCACAACCAGAAGGCCCGGGCATGGGAAGCATTCTCTGACAACACCGAGCCCTTGGGACCTCCTGAAACCTTGAGCAGAGGCTGGAGAAGCCTTCAGACCGTCCTTTCACTACCTCACCAAGTGTCATGCCTGGGACCTCAGACATCAGGGTTGTGATGTCGATGTCAGGCCCAAGTCACGTCTCTAGTGACCGAAGCAGACCTGCCTGAAAGGGTACTCTGAACAGTGAGCCCTGGCCATAACCTGTGCCCTCATATTTCTGCTGCCTCAGATGGTCTTGTTCGCCCACTCTGTAGTGACTGATGATCACCCTAAAGGGGAGGTAGGCATCTAACAGTAGCACAGTTACTTTGAGCCTGACCCCTTGCTCTGAAGTGCAGATGCTGAGTTGACACATGCACTGAGGAAGAACACTTTAAGGAAGCACTTTATGATTTACTCATGGCTGGTGTTGGCCTCAAGGTAAAAGAACATCTTAATGCAGAACAGTACAACAAAGTGCCCCATAGGATGGGTGCCATCATCTGTCCCCGTGGTTGGGATTCCCAAGGAAAGTGCCTTGTTCCGTGCATCTTCAGAATCCCCCACGCCCTCTCTTGATCCTTTTCATGAAGTCCAGGGCATTCCTTCTATGACAGGCTGAAGATGCATTGTAAAAGGTAGTGCTATAGTAGTATTCCCACTTCTCACAATAAATGTGCAAAACTCCTGGAGGATTTGGTGCCCAATCTACAGCATACTTGACAACACGGGGAATACCGTGGATGCTCCACACCAGCCTTACATCCGTCCCCCAAATGTGCCAAACTCATGCCTGCCCAGGGCCACCGGGCCTGGCCCTGGGCAACAAAAGGAAGGGCCTATCTTACCACAGTCTCCCCAGCATCTAGCTCAGGGTAGATGACTGACTGGGAAATTCCGGTTGGATAAAATGGCTTTTCCACATGGCAACTTTGCATCTCTATTAGCAAAATTTAGATTGAACCTCTCCTCTACTTGATGCTTAGTTTGAGGACAGGTAAACAGTTTTCACAACTTTAGAGGGTCTTAGAGTGTGTTATACAGTAACCTTGAAGTTTGAGATGAAACAAGGTGTCAGAGCTTTTGAATCTTTCAAAGGAATTGCCTTTTACAGATTTTTTTTTTTTTAATTCCCCAAGAAGGGAAAAAGAGAGGGAAGAACTACAGTAATGTTAGAGATAAGGTATGTTTCGGCTCAAAATGTGTCATGAATCTAAAGGTAACTTGATGGGTAGAAAGGTCTCAGCCATGTGAACCAGGAAGTGGGAGCACAGTGCAAGGCTGTGGGTGGCAGCACTAGATACAGTGGTGGCAGGAGTGTGACACGTAGGCACTCCATGGGGGACAGCCAGACAGTGTCTGTCAGAAGTGCAAATGCATCAGCTTTTTGAACTAAGAATTGTACCTGTGTACAAGGGTTTTTGTTGAAACACTGTAATAGCAAAAAGTTGGAGAGTGCCACCAGTATAGGGGAATGCTTAAATACATTATGACCAGCTTAAACAATGGAATAGTTTGCAGAAACTTAAAACAGTGGATCCTGTGTGTGTGTACTACCATAGAATGGTCCCCAAGATGCATGATTAAGTGGGGGAAAAAAGAAGCCCATGGTATCTTAATGTTTGGAATGGAGAAAAATGTGTAGATGTATGTGTGTGCGTATGTTTTCACACAGACATATACACATGTATATCATATGTCTGCCTGCATACGCCTAGGATTTCTCTGGGAGGATACCCAGCAATCCAGCAGCCTGATTGCCTCTGGGAAGAGGGGTGGGAATGACTTTTCAATGTACACCTTTTGTACCTTTTGAATTTTGTACCATGTACATGTATTATCTATTAAAAAAATAGTTTTTAATTTTTAATTTGGTTTACTTTTCTTAAAACAATAGAACCAAAATGGAAGAAAATTCTGATTCACTAAATCTGCTTTCTTAAAGATAAAGCCTTTGATTCAAAAGTAGTGAGACTCTTTCTTGGGTCTTGAGGCAGTGGGCCATACAAAGGGGGGTGTCCTTTTCCGGTAGAACAGAATGGGGCAGCGAAGCAGGGGCTGGCTCTCACACTCTGGGAGCATGTTGGGTCAGCAGAGGGAGGGATGGGGACGGGGAAATGGATGGTGACATGACTAATCCCTGGGACAGATGGGCTGCTGCAGGGTTCCCTCTATCTCACAAACATCACAGTGCAACCCTGGTCCTCTGACTTTTGGAGCACAAAAGATAGGCATACCTCTGAGTCATGATTCCAGGGGGGCTGTTAACATCCTCCCGAAGCCGTGCCCGTCTTGTGTGGAAACCTGCTGTGGGTGATCCTTCTCCACCCCTGCCTTCTTTTAAAAACCAACACAACTCTGGTTTTGTCCAGCTCCGAGGTGGCTGTGTGTCAGCCCCAGGAGAGGAACATGACAGCCGTTCCAGTCGGGAATCTTACTTCTGTTGGCCAACTGCTGGTTTGCAGATGGTTTGCGGATGGTTTGCGGATGGTTTGCGGATGGATGTCTAAGCCAGTTATGGCCAGTTTAGGGGAGACTGCTGAACTTCTTGGAAAGATTTCACCCATCTTGAGACCATGAAAAGAGACATCCCAACGCACTGAGGTTGGCAGAGGGAAAAGGTGGAAAGAGCCTGGCTCTCCGAACGCATGACAAGCCTCTCAGCCACGCTGCGGCCCACCTGCTTCCATATTCTTGTTCCATGAGAAAAATGAACCTCTGTTAGCTTGTGCATTCGACCAACAAATACTTGAGTTTCTTCTATGTGTCAGGCCCTGAGAATATAGCAGTAAAAAAAGCAGACAAAAGAACCTGCCTTCTTGGAGCTACCCTCCAGCGGAAAAAACATACGAACCAGATAACTATGTAAATATTGGCATGTGGTGCTTCAATGTGCTGATTAAAGCAAGGAAGAGTATCAGGAGTGTCTGGCTTGGTGGCGGTTGCAATTTTATATTGAGAAGTGAAGGAAGGCCTCACTCACTGACTAGTGAGGGACTGAGTATATAGATACCTGTGTAAAGAACATTCCAGGCACAGGGGATAGCAAGTGTAAAGGCCCTCAGGTAGGAGCATACCCAGCAGGTGAGTTTGAGGAACATGAAGGGGAACTGTGTGGGGAGCCACTGGAGGGTTTTGGAGAAGGAAATCAATGCGATCTGGGTTCATTTTTTTGTTTGTTCTGAGATGGTGTTTCGCTCTCGTTGCCCAGGCTGGAGTGCAATGGCGCAATCTTGGCTCACCACAACCTCCACCTCCTGGGTTCAAGCAATTCTCCTGCCTCAGCCTCCCGAGTAGCTGGGATTACAGGCATGTGCCACCACACCTGGCTACTTTTATATTTTTAGTAGAGATAGGGTTTCTCCACATTGGTCAGGCTGGTCTCGAACTCCTGACCTCAGCTGATCCATCCGCCTCAGCCTCCCAAAGTGCTGGGATTATAGGCGTGAGCCACCGTGCCCAACCAATCTCTTCATTTTAATAGGCATCCCTACACTGAGTGCGGTGGCTCATGCCTGTAATCCCAGTACTTTGGGAGGCCGAGAAGGGGAGATCGCTTGAGCCCAGGAGTTCAAGACTAGCCTGGGCAATATGGCAAAACCCCATCTTTACTAAAAATACAAAAAATTAGCCAGGCGTGGTGGAGCACAACTGTAGTCCAAGCTACTCAGGAGGCAGAGGTGGGAGGATGGGTTGAGCCTGGGAAGTCAAGGCTGCAGAGAGGCATGATCACGCCACTACACTCCGGCCTGGGCGACAGAGTAAGACTGTCAAAAAAAAAAAAAAAAAAAAGGATCCCTCTGGAGGCTGTGTTGACTATGGGGAGGGCAGGGCATACAGGGCATACTCCAGATTTAAATATAACTAAAATGAAAGTTTTATGAGATAATACTTCCCCTTTTAATACAACACTCTGATTTTTTTTTCCTGTTTTGAAAATGCTGAGCATTGAAGTGCTGCTTTCCATCATCCCGTCGTAGCAGATGCCTTTTTATGGCAGGTGAAATGTACTTCCCCTTGACTTTGGGCTTTTGCTTGTCCTATGGGTTGTTAGCTGACTTGATACAAGTTTTGAAAGTATGCTTGCACAGATGGGTTTACCTTCTTGCCCTTCTCTCTTGAGAAGTACCCTGTTGGCCCAAGGACAGGATGAAGGACAAATAGAGCAGGCCTAGACACAACCTGCAGCTTGAAACCAAGCCCAGAAGAGCCCTGCCTTAGATCAGTGAAATCCCAGCCAACTCAGGCATATAAGCAAGAAATAAAGATTTGCTGTGTACCACCGAGACTTCATAGTAATTGCACACGACTATTGAGAATGCAGCTGATTGAGCAAACCCCAAACTGGTTTTATGATAGGTTGTGACCTGGAGTTGAAAAGATACCTCTCCACACCACTCAGGTGAGGGGCCAGAAGAGCAGCCTTCTGGGAATGGGACCTACATGTGGAATAGACGCTCACAGAGCACAGCCATTGTAAGAATCCAAGTTCGCTCAGACAAGGCCAGGCACGGTAGCTCATGCCTATAATCCCAGCACTTTGGGAAGCCAAAGTGTGAGCACTGCTTGAGGCCAGGAGTTCAAGACCAGCCTGGGCAACATAGGAAGATCCTGTTTCTACACACACACAAAAATTTAAAAAAAAAAAAAAAAAAAAAAAAATCCCTCAGATATGCCTGAAGAAACATGGAGGCCATATTCAAAGGGAGAAAAGTAGCATACTTCCTGTGTTACAGATGACCAAATTAATAAAGCTCTTCCATTAGCCACATCCATCCTACAGACCTGGAACTTTGTGCAATTAAATTGTGACACCTTAGTGATAACTTAGAAAATAAATCCACACATGGCTGGGCGCAGTGGCTCACGCCTGTAATCTCAGCACTTTGGGAGGGCGAGGAGGGCGGATCACGAGGTCAGGAGATCAGGACCATCCTGGCGAACACGGTGTAAACGTTGCCTCTACTAAAAACAAAAAAAAATTAGCCGGGCATGGAGGCGGGTGCCTGTAGTCCCAGCTACTGGGGAGGCTGAGGCAGGAGAATGGCGTGAACCCAGGAGGCGGAGCTTGCAGTGAACCCAGATCGCGCCACTGCACTGCAGCCTGGGCGACAGAGCGAGACTCCGTTTCAAAAAATAAATAAATAAATAAAGGAAAGAAAGAAAATAAATCCACACAGGGGAGAGATGAATTCCTCTAACAGCCTCCCACCTCCATCTTAGTTATGTTCTATAGGCAAAGGGGATGGAGGGAGAACAGAGACATTACACTTACCAAGGATGTTCCTAGAATGTTAATTGGAAATCAGATGTGTTTTTGTCACTAGAATTCCATTTCATATACTCTGAATTAAAAGGAATCATAAGTCAATCATAAGTCATCATAAGTCAATTTATGATGATTGCATAAAGTCAATCATCAACTAATCCGTTTCAGGAATTCAACATTTTATAATTATTGTGAGCAGTTGAAGAAGGCTTACTAACTGAAGAAAAGTTTGAAGTCTAAAATGTCCAGCAGAAGTTGCCACCAAATTGGCAAGCAAATAGTTTTCTGTTAAGGAAATCTAAACATAAATGTGATTCCTTCTGCCCGGGATGCTTCCATAATGAGAGTACGTTAAGTCAAAGCCCCTGCCAAATAAACAATAAACGCACACTATCCAATAGCAAGAGTAAACCAAAAAATTCTACAGGTGCCTACCCAACCACACCCAGACTCTCCTTGAAACCTTATTCCTGGAATCCAACTAGAATAATGCAAGAGGATTCACTATATCAGGTGTAGTCTGCAAAGGCTCATGTGGATCTCATGCTGCAAAATGCAAGCCACAGTTGAAACATGGAGTCTAGTCAGGTTTCTGTTAGGTTCCTTTCATCTTTCTCATGTTTGGAAACAGGCAGACTTGAGTCCAAATACCTGTCTGCTATGTATTCACTCTGTGACCATGGGCAAGCTACTCACCCTTTTAGAATATAGTTAGTGAGGACTATATTTACCTTATAGAGTGAATGGAGGAGTGAGTGATCATTTGTATTTAAAACCCAGTACAACAGCTATGCATGATGGGTGCTCAATAAACAGTACTTTTAAAATTTATTCCCGAATGTGCATTTTATGAAGGGAGAGATGGGGAAATTATTAATACCCCCTATTATCCTTCAGTCAATGAGGGAAGATTCTCAGCAGACCCAAGATTGAGCTCTGACTCTTAAAAGACAACAATGATGGATGACTGAGTGTATCATTTGGTAACTACATACCTGTTCCACCTCCTCCAGGTTGTCAGTCACCTGCTTATTAATTTCTTCCCTGCCTTAATTCACGAGATATGAGGTGGCTTGTAGGAAACAAGCAGAACAACAGTAAACTATAAACTGAACATAAAACACTAGGATAGGGAAATCTAAAATTGGAATTATAGACTGGCTGGAAACATTATACACAAATAAGTAGGCTACTGGGTTTTATATAAATTCCAGAGTTAAGCCAACAATTTGGTTCTGTGCTTCTTCCTCATCAAAATGAAAATGAAAACACAGTCAATTAATAATCCTCATTGTCATGAAAAGAAAACATGACTTCACAAAGAATGTAATAGGATGATTAACTGCATCCTTATATGAAATGCACTGATGAGTTTTATAAGAATATTTCCTGTATCTTCCAATGAAAAAGAACAGAATTCCAAAACACAACTCTAAGAAGGCTGTCCAGGGTACCACCCTAATTACCTTCCTGATGCCCAGTCTCTAGCAACAATGGAATGGTTGGACCATGTATTCTTCCCAGACTCTTCAGAATTCCCTCATTTAACAGGGTTGGTACCTATGAGAACTGGAACTGTATATGGCTTGAGGTTATACTGGTGCACGATCCACAATTGCAAAAATACAAATTGTTGAGAAAACAAGTGTTTGTAACTCATTTTACAACACAACTGATCTGACTCAAATGACCTGCACTAATATGAGGCTATTTCTAGTCCTTTTCTCACAATGTATATATTCATACATCTTACTGCAGAAATACTCAATTATTGATTACATGCTGCTGTCCTAGACCCAGTCGGGGGTGTTTTCTAATGTATGGACTATACCATAAATGTTTATATACTATATATGCCTTTCTAAAACCCAAAAAAATAATTCTGGATTCTGAAACACATCTGGTCCCAAAGACTTTGGAAAAGGAACTATGGACCTGTATTCTCTAATAAACCTTAAAATACTGGTACGATTTAGCGTAAGGGTGAAGAATATCTGTATAACTCAGATATGAAATGAACCACTGGTGGAGCAGATCCTTTGTACAAATTAAAAAGCCTAATCAATAGGCAGCTATTCTGCCTCCAAAATGAGGTAAACTGGGACCAAGATGATGTAGTCCATGCCTTGGATTCCTATACATCTGGGCCACATTTAACATTTTCTGGAAGGCCATGAGTCACTATGGCAGTTTTGGGTGGGGGTGAGGGGTTGTTGGTTTTGAATCCTACAATAGGCATCATTTTTCCTATCTCGGTGTCATATGCAGGTATGTGTCCACCATAAGAATGATTCTGAGTCTAGAAATGAATTACCTGGCAAGCTTTAAAAAACACTGTTGCCTGGGGTTTCACTTCCCAGAAATACCAATTTAGTTGGCCTAAAGAGCAACCTGAATATCCAGAAGTATCTCTCACTGATGATAAGAAAGTCATCTAGACAACTGAAGAGATGGATTACCAGACCTCTTCTTTGAGAGCCTGATGCAGTAGGTATGGTTTGCACTGAACATCTTTTTTTTAAAGCAAAACTTCAGGGATCCTCATCTTCTCACAAATTGGCATACACTATCCTGTTGGGGAAGCGTAAGAGCCTGGGGAAGATAAGCTAAGTAAGGTGAATAAAAGAGGTAGAGAGGGCTCTTCCACAAAGGAGAAAGTCTTCTGAGTGGGCTACCAAACACACCACTGGGGCCATGTGCTGAGAATAGCCCTCTGAGGAATATACTATTGACAAAAGAAAAGCAAATCAGCTTCAACTCTTGCGTTAATTTTAAATAATCAACAGTAACTGCCTAGAGTGCTGTCCTGGAAAGGATTCTGAGACCAGGTTCCTGCTCAGTGGGGAGCCAAGCCATGACCAATTGGCAATGTCTGCCATGCACATGGGAAGAAGGCATAGTTACAACATCTGCCAGACCTATGCTGTCTTTCTTGAGAGCCTTGGCGCTGCTGCTTCTACAGTCCAAGTCCAATGGTATAACTCTCAAGACAGCATTAGCACTCAGCTGTGGAGGGAACGATCTCAGATCACTGATGAAAAAGTCCAAGTTTCCTTCCTCCTTACAATCTACCCACGTCTCTCTAATCCCTGTGTTCATCTCTGCTTAGTAAAGAGGCTCTTGAAGGCATTGTAGTTCCTGTTAAAAGCTGTGTAAATCAGGGGGTTGAAGAAAGAATCGGAGTAGCCAAGCCACAGAAATATGCTTTTCCAAATGGAGGGCAGGCTGCAGGCACAGAGTGGACTGATGAGCTCCGTCAGGAAGAAGGGGATCCAGCACAGCACAAACACGCCAATCAGAATTCCCACCATCATGGTTGCTCGCTTCTCCTTCTGCTCCCGCCAGGAGTCTCCGCTCGCCTGGAAGGCCACCGTTGCTCTGCAATGTGCCGTGAACACCATTTCGGCCTCATCAGGTGCTTCCTTTACCTTGCAACAAAGAAAATCCCAGCACTTTGGGAGGCCGAGACGGGCGGATCACGAGGTCAGGAGATCGAGACCATCCTGGCTAACACGGTGAAACCCCCTCTCTACTAAAAAATACAAAAAACTAGCCGGGCGAGGTGGCGGGCGCCTGTAGTCCCAGCTACTCGGGAGGCTGAGGCAGGAGAATGGCGTGAACCCGGGAGGCGGAGCTTGCAGTGAGCTGAGATCCGGCCACTGCACTCCAGCCTGGGCGACAGAGCGAGACTCCGTCAAAAAAAAAAAAAAAAAAAAAAAAAAGAAAAGAAAAAAAAAGAAAATAATGGAATTAAAAAATAAAACAGAAAAACAAGGAAGAAGCTGAACAAACCAGAAAGACAACAACTCCTCTTAGACTTGTCAGAGAAGTGAGATCACAGGGCTAAATGCTGCTCCAAAAATGGTCAGGTGAATATAGAGCATCACCACTTACCAGAGCAAAAACCCACAACCAGAAACTTCTGCAGGAACCAGTGCTGGGGTAAGAAAACGTAAGCTCTAAACTGACAAATTGCCGGAGGCTGTGTGGAAAAAATCTGACAGTTAAAAAATCCAGGAAGACTTAGTCATGGAGTGGGGTAGAGGGTAGAGGTGTACATTTTTATGTTTTATTGTTTCCAGGGTCTCTATCAAGTCCTCACAGTAAATACTGGAGAAAAATCACCTTGTGCTTTTGGCAAGGGGAAGGGAAAGGAATCCATTTTGAAATATGCCAAACTATTCTGTTCTTTTTTTTTTTTTTTTTTTTTTTTTTTTTTTTTTTTTTTTTTTTTTAGAGGCGGAGTCTTCACTCTGTCCCCCAGGCTGGAGTGCAGTGGCACCATCTTGGCTCACTGCAAGCTCCGCCTCCCGGGTTCGCGCCATTCTCCTGCCTCAGCCTCCCGAGTAGCTGGGACTACAGGCGCCCGCCACCGCGCCCGGCTAATTTTTTGTATTTTAGTAGAGACGGGGTTTCACCGTGTTAGCCAGGATGGTCTCCATCTCCTGACCTCGTGATCCGCTCGCCTCAGCCTCCCAAAGTGCAGGCATTACAGGCGTGAGCCACCGCGCCCGGCCAACCATTCTGTTCTTAATAGGGCCTATCCTCATGAGATTAACTTACCAGAGCCTAACCTGAGGGCTTTTATCAGAGCCCAGTCTACCTGGAGGAAGGGAAATACCCACCTCCAGTCCCCTGTAGCCATCCTGCCCCACCTAAGGGGGAAGTAGGACTGAGAAGCACTAGTGAAGTTTACAGTCCAGGCACACAGGCTAAAAAACAACTGAGACCTAATCACAGGACTACAGAACACTTCCCCTTCTCACATACCTCACCACCATATTAACTAAAGGTCCATCTACCACAGTTCCTTTTACCCAGTGCATCATGTCTACCTTTCAACAAAAAAATTACAAAGCACACTAAAAGGCAAACAACACAGTTTGAAAAGACTGAACAAGCATGAAACCAGTCATAGATGGCTATGATGTGAGAATTATCAGACAAGGAATTTTTTTAAAACTATGATTAATAACAGCTTTAAAATAAAAAGAAGACAACATGCAAGAAAGATGAGTAATGTAAAGCAAAGAAATTGAAATTCTAAAAAAAGAATTTTTTAAATGTTAGATATCAAAACACCAACAGAAATGAAGTTTCCCTTTCATAGGTTCATTAGTAGACTGGGCACAGATGAGGAAGGAATCTCTGAACTTCAGGATATGACATTAGAAACTTTTGAAACCAAAACACAAATAGAAAAAAAAAGATGTATAAAAATAGAATAGTCCAGAGTGGTGAGACAACTACAAAAGTTGTAAATACACTTAATGAGAATACCAGAAGGAGAACAAAAGGAATATAAGCAGTATTTGAAGCAATGATGACTGAGAATGTCCCCTAGTTAATATCAGACACCAAGCCACAGACCCAAGGAGGTTAAAGAAGAATAAATAACGGATATAAAATACAGACACCTAGGCATGTTATATTTAAACTTGAGAAAAGCAAAAATAAAGACAAAAATCTTGGAAGAAGCCAAAGGGAAAACCTATAGATAGCAAAGATATCCATTACATCCAGCTTCTCTTCAGAAACCATACAAGCAAGAAGAGTGTGAAGTAAAATGTTTAAAGCATTGAGAGAAAAAAAATCCACCAACCTAGAATTCTATATCTTGGAAAATTATCCTTTAAAAATGAAGGAGAAAAAAAAAAAAAAAACATTTATCAGACAAAAATCGAGGGAATTTGTTGCCAGTAGACCTGCCTTGGAAGAAGTGTTAAAGGAAGTTCTTCAGAAAAGGAAAATTATATATCAGAAACTCAGATTTGTGTAAAGAAAGGAAGAGCATCAGATAATTAATAAGTAAAGATAGAATAAAAACTTTTATTTTTCTTATTTGATCTAACAAGTTCAAAAAATAATAGCAACAATGTATTTGAAGATATATATATATACATACACACACAAACACACTTATGTAAGCTATATGTAAGTGAAATGAATGATAGCAAGATACAAGAAATGAGAGTGAGGGATTAGAATTATTGTGTTATTATGAGGTATGTGTTCTACCCATGAAATAATATAGTGTTATTTGAAAATGGACCTGGATTAGTTGTAAATGTGTATTGCAAACTCAAGGGTCAACCACTAAAAAAAAAGTGAAGAAATGTAACTAATATGCTAAAAAAGGAGAGAGAAATGAAATAATATTCTCAATTAAAACTATAAAGGGCAGAGCTGTACACAGTGGCACAGACCTATAATCCCAGCTACTCAGGAGGCTGAGGCAGGAGGATTGCTTCAGGTTCAAGAGTTTGAGAACAGCCTGGGCAACATAACAAAATAAACAAACAAACAAGAAACCTACAAGGGGCAGAAAAAGAGTGCAAGAGAAAAATAGGAACAAAGAAAAAAGACAACAAATAGGAAACAGTAACAAAAATGGTAAATATTTATTTATGTCAGTAATCACCCCAAACATCATTGGTCTAAAGGCACCAACTAAAAGAGATTGTCACAGTGGATCATAAAACAAGATAACTATATGTTGTCTACAAGAAACCCACTTTAAACATAAAGACACATATAGATTAAATGTAAAGGGATGGAAAAAGATATACCATGCTAACACTAATCAAAAGAAAGAGGGAGTAGCTAATTTCATTTCAGGCAGAGCAAACTTCAAAGCAAAGAAAGTTATCAGAGACAGAGGGGAACATTACACAATGATAAAGTCAGTACTCCAAGAAGACATAACAATTTTTAATGTGTATGTGCTTAAAAACAGAACCAAAATATATGAGGCAAAAACTGATAGAACTGCAAGAAGGAACAGATGACTTCATTATTATAGTTGGAGACTTCAACACTTCTGTATGATAAATGGACAAATAGAGCAGGTAGAAAATCATTAAAGACATAATTGAACTCAACAACACCATCAGTCACGTAATATAATTGACATCTATAGACTACACAGCCTACAACAGTAGATTATACATTCCTCTCAAGCTCACCTAGAACATTCACCAAGGCAGACCACATTTGGCCATAAAACACACTTTAACAAATTTAAAAGAAGAGAAAGCATACAAAGTCTGGCTTTTTTTCTTTCTTTCTTTCACAAAAAGAATAGAAAATCCTCAAATACTTGGAAACTTAAAAATCACTTTGAAATAGCACATGGGTCAAAGAAAAAAATTGATGAAAATTTTAAAATATTTTCAAGTAAATGAAAATGAAAACAAACATCAAAATTTGTGTGATGCTGCAAAATAGTGCTTACATGAAAATTTATAACACTTTATATATTTATATATATATTAGAACAAACATCTAAAATCATCAATCTAAGCTTTCACCTGAGGAAACTGATGAAAAAAAGGGCAAATTAAATCCAAAACAAGCAGAAGAAAAATAAAAATTAGAGCAGAAATCAACGTGTGAAAACAGGAAATCCATAGAGAAGACCAATGAAACCAAAAGCAGGTTCTTTGAATAAATAAATAAAATTAATAAACTCTAGCCAGGCTAAGAAAAAATCTACCAAATTATAATACCAGAAATGAAAGAGGAGATAACACTATAGATCCCATGGACATTAAATGGACAAAGGAGGCTGGGCATGGTGGCTCAAGCCTGTAATCCCAACACTTTAGGAGGCCAAGGCAGGTGGATCACAAGGTCAGGAGTTCGAGACCAGTCTGGCCAACATGGTGAAGCCCCATCTCTACTAAAAATACAAAAATTAGCTGGCTGTGGTGGCGTGTGCCTGTAATCCCAGCTACTCAGGAGGCTGAGACAGGAGAATCATTTGAACCCAGGAGGTAGAGGTTGCAGTGAGCTGAGATCATGCCACTGCACTCCAGCCTGGGTGACAGAGCAAGACTCCATCTCGGGATTAAAAAAAAAAAAAAAAAAAAAAAGACAGTGGATTGCTGTGAACAACTCTATGCTCACAAATTTGATAACGTAGATTAAATGGACCAATCCCTTCAAAGACACAAGCTTGAGAGACATAAGCCGCCAAAACTCACACAAGAAGAAATAGAAAATCTGAATAGGCCCATAGCTACTAAATATAGTGAATTAATAATTAATAACCTTTCAAAACAGAGAACACCAAGCCCAGATTGATTCACTGGAAAACTCCGTTAAACATTTTAAGGAAGAAATTATACCAATTCTCAACAATCTCTTTCAGGAAATACAAACTGAAGGGAATACTTTCTAACACATTCTGTGGGGCAACATTATCCTAATACCCAAATCAGCCAAGGACAGTAAAACTACAGATCAGTATCTCATGAACATGGATACAAAAATTCTCAACAAATATTACCAAATTAATCCAACAATGTACAAAAAGAAAATTATACACCACAATCAAGTGGAATTTATCCTAGGTATGCAATTCTTGTTCAACATTCAAAAATCAATTAATATAATCTGGCACATTAATAGGCTAAAAAAGAAAAAA